CTTATTCTCCGGATTTAACCCTCTCTGACTATTTTTTGTTTCCAAAAACCTGAAGAAATGGTTTGGTGGTAAACGATTCGAGTCGAATGAAAAGGTCATCGCCGAAATGGCTTATTTTAAGGGTCTTGGGAAATCCTATTATTTAGAAGGAATAAGAAAATTATAGAAACACGATGGACTAAGTGTATCGATCTAAAAAGAGATTATGTAGAAAAATAAAATGTTTTCCTTTAAAAGTCACAGACTTTTCAAACCACCCTCGTATACCGAATGATGGCAGGGTTGGTATAATTTTATTTGAAAAACAATGTTTTTATGTTCGTTTAGAATTTGATACCATCGGTACTATTAAAGACTTTTGTAAATGAATTCATCCTGCAGACATAAACACTGTTTGCGTCTAATTACAGTTCGCGGTGACTAGATAACCGATGAGTGAACATATCCTTAGAAATATGTGATTAAATCGGTTTTTTTTTATTATACCTGCTTGTAGGGTGTGGTTTTATTATTATTAGCGATTATACTTGTATACGCATTATGATTGTTTTATTTTTATAAAAGCTTATACGATTTTATCTTATTCGATATCTTCTATCTTATTCTGACATATATTTTATCAGAAGTATCTGACTAATTTTTGTTATAGTTTCGCAACTATTCAATACTTTTAACATTTTTAACAATTTAAAGTTTTATAATAATAAATATTATCTATTAAGCACAATGCAAATTAATATTACACATGCACGTGGATATAAATAGGAATTTATAAACTTCCTCGATATTCCATTGGAATGTCGAAAAATCAATTTATAACACATACTGGGTGTTAGTTAATTGAATGCCGATACTTCAGGATGTGAATATTTGGATGATCTTAAGAAGAAAAGTTTATATAAATATTATGTCGTAAACCTCTTAATTTTCGAGCTACAGGGTGTTACATTTTTAGAAAAAAAAATATCTCACAAGTACCAAAATTAATAATCAATTAATTACAAACAATTTACATAGCCAACTTGTAAAAACGGATTATTTAAGAATAAGGCAGAAAAGTAAGTTTTAAGTAAAATTTTTAATATCATCAAACCTATTAGGTTTAGGTATAGGGAAGTAAACATGAACTTCCCTAATTTTTTATCGCTGATTTCAATAAAATAGAAAAAAACGGGTGGTTCCATTTAAAAAATAAAATAATTTAGTATTTTTGAAGTTCAACTTTTCACATGTTTTGTATACACCCTGTATAAAATAAAAAGTTTTTTAACACAGATTCAAATACCTTTGACCTTGCTAGTGACCACCCTACAGAAACCGTATCCATATCTTTAAAGGGATCCCCGTAAAAAATAATTTATAAGGGTCCTCATCGGTCAAATTTTTCAAAAAAAAAATTAGTAACTCAAAAAGTATGCATTTTTGAAAAAAGTTTTTTAGACAAAAGCACTCTAAAATTTTGCGTACATTTCGAAAATATATTAATATATGGGGTGTCCCATTTAAAATAACAAAGTTGATGTCCACTTCCGGTATAACCGGAAGTAAAGAAAAGTTGAAAATATTTTCATTGAATAAAGCGCATCGACTAATACTGGCCCTCGTCGTGACACACACTGTATAGGGTTAAAATATTGCACTTTTCCAATGAAACACCCTGTATTTAATATTCATGCAATGGGCGTTTTTTAATACTATATAACTATATCGATATAAATGTACCTACAAGTATAAGAAATAAGCATCAAACACATTAATCTCTTTAAAATACGTTCCATTCACGATTCAATCTACTATTTACTTATATCGTATACAACGCACAGATGTTGACATTGGACAATTATTAATACTATATTTATATATTATGCCGTTTGTCTCTGGGCCTAGCTGGGTGCGTTTATACGTATATTATATCTCGTGCGTTCCCAATGAGTTCAACAAACTTTGAATACGTAAATAAGTTGCATAAAGTTGTATGGAAAACCGTTATCTAAAAAGAAAGTTCCTCCTTTATTTATGCTCGAATTATAATGGATGTTGTGGATGATAAGCGCCCGTAAATATTTGCCCGTCCTTACCCCAATCTAACCGTTTACTGTAAAAATTCAAGCGGTTTAATAGAGAGAGAGTCGAATAATTTTTGGTTACAGTTTGATTTATTTGATGAGCAATTACTCGGTATTCCACTCATAAAGCAATTTCCGCTTCGAAATTGCAACATTGGAGTTTTCCGAAAGCACTTCAATTACAACTCGTGCGAAATTACTGAAGTCAGAATATTTATGATGTAATTTTAATGTATTATAATTTTTCGCACGCAACAGCACGTTGTTTCATACCACGGTCGTATATTTACAAGGTCTGGAAACATAGGTTGAAAAAGTGTCGTGTTATTTGAGGATAAAACAGGGTTCCTAGAACGGCCGCTTGGAGGCGATGTTGTAAAGGACCACGATTTTTTGCGTACGAATTATTTAGAATTAGCATTAAGAAAGGTTATATTCAAACCAAAAATAGATACAATATATAAAAGTATACTTAAATTAGCGATTATTTTGTTATTAACATCATGCTTCACGTTTCTTCGGTTAATGTATTTCTCCATTTTCTCCTCGAAATGTCAAATAATAAAGTTTTGACAGTTTGAACTGTCGTCTGACAACCGCGATTTAATATGTAGCACGACGCTGATTGGCTGAGATAAGTTGATTCTCCGATCGCGCCACGAAACGGCGAAAAAGTGAAGCTCAAAAAGTCCTCAAATAACGGGACACATTCTCTAATGCACAAGCATAGGAAGTTTCCAGACCTTAGAAATATAGGGCCGTGATTGTATCATTAGTGATGGCATAAGAATTTGAACGAAATGTTCGGAAGAATAGAAGAAACGAACAAAAGTTAAATGTAACATCGAATGACAGATGACATATCTAGGGTTATGTTATTGTAGTTTCTTTGTTTTAAGTTTATTGGGCTAAAAATAAACACTTTTTTTAGAATACAATGAAGAATTTTCACAAAACGACATGAAACAGGTTTTATTTACCTTCTGATGCGACATTTTAAAATTGTATAAGTTGATTTAGTTGGAGGTTAAGTTTTTGTTTTTATTAATTTGACAAGTTTAAAAGTCAAAAGTAACATTCGATGATGCCACATTACCATTTTTACTAAACAATATTTTAGAATTTAGGATCTTTACAGTAATTCGTATATATTATATTATATTATTAACCAATTATAAGTTCGCTCTATTTTTTTCGAATAAATCATAACTGCATCAAGAAATACAAAAAATAAATTATAGCATTGACGTACAAACTCCATTTTTTTCAGAGTAAGAAGATAATTGACAACGTCGCTAAAAACGATTTCTACCATCAATTCTTAATTGTGATTGGTTAATGACTTGTGACGTATTTAAAAGTTTTGACAGCTTGAACTGTCGTCTGACAACCGCGATTTATATGTAACGCGACGTTGATTGGTTGAGATAAGTTGATTCTCCGATCGTTCGCCACGAAGCGGCGAAAAAGTGAAGCTTAAAAAGTCCTCAAATAACAACGGGACACATTCTCTAATGCACAAGCATAGGAAGTTTCCAGACCTTAGAAATATAGGGCCGTGTTTCATACTGACGACTTCATTTGATGTACTATCAGTGCTCTGTTATAAAAATATACTTTACTGTGTGTATAGCATATACCGCACCCTGTCTAGCCTAGCCTGACCCTTTTGTGTAAACGCCTTCCCTTCGATACTTAATTTCTTTAGATGGTGTTTTTACACGTTAGCATATCGCCGTCTCTCTCTCGCCTTTCGTGCTTAATTTTGACGAAATTTGCACAGGGGCGTATTTTAAATCACGAGCACAATTAACGTAAATACATCTGCTTTACAGGGTGTTTTAAAAATGTTATGCCAAACTTGAGGAGGTTATTGTGGTGAACAATTTTTGCAAAGATATAATTAGTCAAAAATGAGCCGTTTTGGTTCTAAAGTCATTTTTGTTTAAAAAGTTGTTTTCAACTTCTTGAATGTAAAAAAAAACGGTAGAATGTGGTTCCAATATGACGATGCACCGGCACATTTTGCTCGTCCTGTTCAGAATTATCTAAACCAACAATTTCCTGCGCAATGGATTGGAAGAGGAGGACTTATTCGGTGGCCACCGCGAAGTCCCGATTTAACCCCATCGCATTTATTCCTCTGCGGTTAAATGAAGTCCTTGGTGTACGAAACTCCTGTAGATGCTCACGAAGAATTATTAGGACGTGAGATGGCTTCTTTTCATATACAACAAGTTCTGTACATCTTCCAACAGCTGCAAGATTCAATGATCAATTTATGTAATGAAGTAGAGGGTCGCCATTTTGAATCCTTATTGTGATTCATTCTACGTATTTGTAATTAAAAATAATAAGATATTAACGTTTTTTACATTCAAGAAGTTAAGAACAACTTTTCAAACAGAAATGACTCTGGAACCAAAACGGCTCAATTATTGACTAATGGTATCTTTGCAAAAATTGTTCACCACAATAATCTCCTTAAAATTTTGGCAAAACCTTTTTGGAACACCCTGTATGTGCAAGTATTCGAAATTATTGTAATGAAGCCCACAAAAGCTGTGGATTAAAAGCGATAAAATTACTGTCCCAATTCCCAGTTGCTCGTCAATTTTAATAGAACTTAAAATACACGAACTTTATTGCTCTAATTCGTCATGTCCTTTTTATTTTTAAAATTGAATTTGTTCAATATTTGCGTAGTAAATAACACCTATAGTATAGAATAAAATGTTGTTTGTAATATTAATTACATCACTGGAGCTTGACGTTGTAATAAGTGGTTTGCTTTGAACTTATTACTGTAATTAAAAGGTATAAAAAAACAGCTACAACCATTATGCTAATTATAATTAGTTAGACGAGTTTGTCTACATTATTTTGTTTTATGATCATCTGAAAATATTTCACGAGAATTAATTTAATTTTCAGGCTTCTATGGATTTACCACCGGACAAAGCGAAATTGCTGAAAAATTACGATTCCGAAAAGAAATGGGATATTATCTGTGATCAGGTGAGTTTCTTTCCGATATTATTTTCGTTTTTAAACGGATTTTTAAACCGCGTTTTCCCCGCCGAAGCCGATGAATCACACGTTTAAATTCATTATGTACTGAACATTGACCTGTTAAATGCATTTTTTTAATGATACTTGACTTACTGACAAGCACAACAATCCGCGCTGTACAATACCGCTCTAATTTTAATCTCGCAGAGTGGACGGATATATCTGGTCGTTATTTCCGAATCAAGGCGGGTATTTTTAGCTTTTTCAATCGTTACATTAACATTATTAGGGGTTTTAGCCACTACAAGTTATTTCATCATGATGTACCAGTGTATGAAATCATTGCGATGTTTTTTTTTTATTGAGTTTGAGACGTTGGCAACGCTGCAAGTAGGAAAATTGTTAATGTTAATGTCTTTTTAGATAATAGTCTGAAAAGTAAAAATCTAATTCTAAAGGTTCTACAGTGTGTCCCAAAAAGTTGTATACCAATGGGGAGAAAGTTTTTCTTACATTTCACAAAAAAAATTATTCTTGATAAAATTCTCTGCTTGACTTGTACATAGATCCACAATCTAGACCAGGGTCGATAATTTTTTAAACACCCTCAAAAAGTAGAGATTTCAACGAACAAACAGGCCACTAGCCTGTTAAGTCAAAATGTTAAGCCTAATGTTAAGTCAAAATAAGGTGAAAAAAATATTTTAAATCAAAATAATTACAGTGTGTTTGGGACATAAAAAGGTAAGTTTTCACCATTTCGTGAAAAATTTTTTTGTTTGTATTATAAAAAAAATAAAATACCAAAAACTTGGTAATTTGAATTTTTTAAAATACAAAAGTAAATACAAAAGTTGTACATATTTTTATTCCCTAAAACTTTGCTATTTAACGTTTTTCCATAGGACTTGTAGTTTTGCCGGAAACCGAGATAAACCGTTTTCTACCCTTAAAAACTCTCTATATTCTCTTCCTTTTCCAATGGGTTTCATCCTACTATTATTTTTTTCCTCTTTTTGCAATTTTCAAATGCTTCAGCACTGGTTTAATCAGGTATAAAATGTTTAAAATATTGCCTTCAATAAAGGGAAAAGAAAAAAGAATGATTTGGATCGAGAGAAAAATTTTGCACAAACTGTAGTAGAGAGCAAAATCTTCATTGAAATTGTCATTAAGTAATAAAAAATTATGCATAATTTGTGCATAATTATGCACAATGAACAGTTTGTGCGTATTTATCTCTCGATCCAAATCATAATTTATTGTTCTCCCTGTATAAGTCATACAGAGAATTTTATCAAGAATAATTTTTTTTTGTAAAATGTAAGATAAACTTTTCCCCATTTTTATACAACTTTTTGGGACACACTGTATCTTAAGGAGTTAATTAATTTTATCTAAGCAAGAGAGTCAATTGTGGTGTATCTATAAGAAATTCATCTGTGTATGAATGACTGGAATTATATCACAATTTAGTGAATGAGAAAAGTTTTTCATTCATTTTTGTAGACACTCGGTATAACACTTAGTAACGGTTCAAAGGTGTGTAATTATTTTCGAATTAAGGATGATGAAATACAAATCTTCATTGAACTACAAAAAGAAAATGGTGACACAATTATTTGACGTAATAATCACGTATAATTTTGGATTATTATTTCACCGGTCATTTACCTACATATTTTAAAAGAGAGTGAATTGTATACATCCAAATTATTTATACCGGGTGAAGTAAAGAAAGAAAAGACTTTTTTTATTCTTCGGAGAAGGTACCTATACCTATACCAATGCCTTTTTATAGCCAAAATTAGTTATATCCAAAGTGCTTCGTTTGACTGTGAGGGAGCCTAAAAGGTTAAAGAAAAATTTGCAAATTTTTCTAATGATTCAAAAACGCTTCATTCGATTTTTCATAACATTTGGTAGGTAGCTATTTTATTTAAAAATTACATGAAATAAAATACTATAAGGGTAAAAACCACCCCAACCCTACCATAAACGACATCGTATTTTTTTTTGAGCGCCGCCCCTGATCTCTCATTTTTTTATGAAAAGCTGTATTCATTTCGAAATTTTTTTGTCTCTTGCAAAAAACCTCTAACCCTCATGGTATTTGAGTAAAAAATAATTATACACTGATGGTGAGTATTTAAAATTTTAAATAAAATGAAGTTGGCGGTTATAACTATCCCAATCGAAGCACTGTCGATTTTATTACAATAAAAAAATCATCAATAGGCATAATAATCTACTGAAAAATAACAATTCAAAGAGAAGGATTTTTTTTATAGTACAATAAATGTTGGATATGGCCACCTTCTTGTTATTATTTAGGGGTTTGGGAAAAATTAAATATCTCTAAAAATCTAAACATCCGGTATCAATTTGGACAAACGAATATAGGGGGGAAAAATTACGAAATTGGTATTTGGGGGTGCCAACTTCACATTTTCTAAAATTTTAAAAATGCAATAATAATTAACCTGGGGTGGACAAATCAAACTATCTTTGGGTTTGAACATGTTTTTGCCATTTGGGGATGCTGGTCAAAAAATTTGTGAAAAAAAATGTATACAGTGTATCCCAAAAAGTTCTTATCTTAATTTTCACAAAAAAAAATTCTTGATAAAATTCTCTGCATGACTTTGTAGATCCATAATCAGGTACAAAATGCTTTATGACAATTTCAATGAACATTTTGCTCTCCACTACAGTTTGTGCATATTTTTCTCTCGATCCAAATCGTTCTTTTTTCTTTTCCCTGTATTGAAGGCAATTTTTAAACATTTTATACCTGATTGTGGATCTACAAGTCATGCAGAGAATCTTATCAAGAGTAATTTTTTTGTGAAATGTTAGATGAAAGTTTTCCCCATTTGTATACAAGTTTTTGGGACACACTGTATATAACTTTTAAACAGCGCCTGGATAAAACAATATTTTAGGTGGTTCTCATTTGGGGGTTCTTCCTTCACAGCTATTTTTCCGGTGTTATTTAGATACACACTGTATATCCCAAGAGAGTAAATTCTACAAGAAAATTAATCTAAATTAATTCCAAATTAATGATAATGGAATAAAAAACTTCAATGAACTATAAATAAAGGACTTGACACAATTATGTGACGCAAACATTAATCCACAATCACGTATAAATTGTGGATATAATTATTTCACCGGAAACATCCTCGTTTTATCCTCACATAAAAAAACCTCAATTGCCGTCCCAACCGCATTTTGGTTTCCTCAAGATTCACTTTTTAACGATCTAATCATTTCATTTCGCTCGACGTCGCATTTTTATTACACAATAATTCGAAAGTGACAGCGATACATTGTATAACTTCTATAGTGAAAAAAAAAAGCGAATTTGTCTCGATTTATGCCCAGGCGGACTCGATGTGACTCATTTTAACCGCTTCACGTCGAGGTGGTCATGCGTTTGACATACTTTTTGATTAGCTTTTTAAGATAAAGATAAAAAATAACCTTGTGGTCATATTTCGGGAAAACTCGGGGAATCAAGGAATTACGGTACTTCAATAAAATTTGCAAAATTTTAAAACGATTTGTTTTGTACGCGGGGCAATCTATTAAACTTTCCCGGGCTATTTTGCTGCAACAAGAAATATATAGTCCGGTCAAATTAATAATAATAAGAGTGAAAGTCAAAAAATTTCCAAAAAGTTGAAAGTTAGTGAAATTGTTTAAAACATAATAATAAATAAAATTGAAAAAGTCCTCATCCATACGATGTGTGGAAAATAATTTACGAAAGGTCAATAGTCGAAAAATTGGACTTTTCGCGATTTTTAGGAAAACGAGAAGTTTTATCACAAAATTAGTAGGTATAGAGAAAAATTGTAGATCGTGTAATTATCTATCAAAAATACATTAATATTTTTTTTTCTGAAAGCCACTGTTTCTGAAATACAGGGTGTCCCAATGAAAAGTAGTCCCTCTATTGAGCTTATAATTTTTAAACGCCTATAATTGTTAGAGTGATACAGAAATTATGCATTACCAATAGAGGGTGTTTTATTAAAATCTTCTGTTTTAAATTCACATTAACCAATTTTTTTTAAATGGAACTCCCCGTATTATACAGAGGTATTTTGAAAGATATACTCTTGTACTTTTCAAAAATGTATTTTTTGTCCATGTTTTTCTACAAAAGAAGATGTCCTATTTCATAAAATTTGGTTAATGTGAATTTAATAGAAGGGATTTTTATGATACACCCTGTACAGGCGGTACAACATTTTTGTGTCTTTTTAACAATAATAACATTTTTCAATACAACAATTTCAATATAACAAATTTTCAATATAACAAATATTGTTAAATTTTTAACAATATTTTCGAAAACCGCATGTCTTTAAGATTTAGACGTTTAAAAATTATCAACTCACTAAATGGGCTACTTTTCATTGTGGGACACCCTGTATAACGCTTCAAAATGTTGCAAAACTTTTGATCGATCATCAGATGCGTATATTAAATTTCTACGCCAACATTATGGATCGTTATATTTCTGAAACGGAAAAAAGTATTAAAGTATTTTTAAAAGATAATTTAACGATCTACAATTTTTCTCTATACTAATTTTATGATAAAACTTTTGCTAAACTTTTTGCTAAAAATCGCGAAAAGCCCAATTTTATAACCTTTGACCATACGTAAATTTTTTTCCACGCATCGGATCGATGAGGGCTTTTAAATTTTTATTAATTATTATGTTTTAAACAATTTCACCAATTTTCAGCTTTTTTGGGAATTTTTTGTACCCTCGAATGTCTAGATTGACCGGGCTAAATACACACGAATCGGCTCTTATCGGATTTAACCTAGTCCTAGAAAAGGTAGTTGCGAACAAAGAGGCAATTTCAACGCTATAAATCTGGACATCTGTTCGCAGAATTGTCAATTTGGGGCGTTTAGCGGTAATTTTCGGACAATTTAGGTTATCGAGGGTGCGGTTCCGAGGGTAGGAAATGACGTACTTGAGGGTTTATTTGACATTTCCTTCGATTTTGGTTAATTGTTATTTATTACCTTGTCGACTGTTCGATATTTATTGCTTGTTTCAACAAGTAACGATACATTTCTAGTGACTAATGCCCAGTTGTACCAAAGCATCCTATGAGGAATTCCTATCCCAAGTCAGACCTAAAGTCTAAAATCAATTTTAGATTGTTGTACCAACTAAAAATCTCTTTCCAGATCATAGGTCGTTGATGTCTATGACTTATGACGAAAATTTTAAGCTCAAAAATTTGAGAATTGTCGGGACAGTTGTAAAATTGTGGATATATAAATGCAGATATAAATATTGTGGATAATGTAGATATAATAAATGATGTAGAGGAAGAAATTATAACGTAGTAGATGTTCCTTTACAACGACAAATTCGAATAAGAACCAATTAATTTGATTAATTCTAAGAGGAAGAATTTTTTAAAAGTTTTCGTCTGCAAAAAGAACGTCCCTACATTTATTTAAATTTATCCAAAATTTCATTATGAATGTACTAATTTCTAGGTTACAGGTTACAGGATAGGTTAAAACAAAACCACAACTTCTACTTTTGATCTTTTGTCACTGTCCCATATCTGGCTTCAGCAACTAATATGCTGTTTTTAATTTCGATGCTTAAAATGACAATTTTATTATCTCCTTTTTTTATAAAGTTCTTCAACAATATTGCTACGTTGCCAAATGTTATCTAAGTTAAAATGGATCGTAGGTAAAATAACCATTTTGAACTTCGTGCAACATATTTCAATTAAGTTGATCACATATTTAAGTCAGACTAAAGATAAAATATAACAAGGATATATTGGTGCAACCGGGCATTAAAGTATCTACTCATCAGTATTTTAAAAAAGTATTTGAAAAACAAAGGTTTTTTTTGTATAATAAATAAAATTATGATGCCACGATTGTTATTATTATTGTAGATAAAACTTTAAAGATGTTGAAATATGAAAACAATAACAATTAAAAATTTCATTATTCCCTAATCTGGTCATTTTTTATCACTTTTTTTTTGATCGAACATCAAAACTTATTCTATTATCGCATTTAGCAAATCTTCGAATTAGCAATTCGGAATTTCGTCACAAAATGATATTTTTACTTTCATATACATATTTTTATTATCCATAAAACGCGTACCTATTATTCGAGATAGTCACTTTCAAAAATTTTTAATGTTTGATTGTTTGCGAAATACGACTTTTTCATTGCTCTAAATTTATCGCTAGAGTATATCGAATCGCTTCGTGCAACTTCGAACGTGCAATAAACGAATATTAAATTCGAAATAATCGTATATGCGGCTTAAGTTAACTTTTTTTTTCGTATCTGAATCTTCCCACTCGTTTGTCATTCAATGTAGTTGAAGAACAACATTCTTTAAATGCCATATACAGGGACTTGCAACAGATATTCACAGGATTGTCTACGAACTGTTTGGGATTTTTTTTTGAATAATCTTCGATAGTATTTGCGTCGATCAAAGTAATAGTGGTGTAACACCATAATTTTGAAATTCATATTTTATTGCATGATAGGTTCTCAATTAATCACATCTTTCAGTATAAAAGTAAAACATTTTAAATTATTTTACTATATCGCCATAAATGTCGTTACTGGTTTCGTCGAGGAACAGATTTTAACTATTATTCACTTAAACAGTGAAGTAAGTCACAAGTCACTTTAATAATGAAGTAAGTCCGGAGTTGATTCACTTGTATTGCGACTTATGTTGAACAGTTTGTACACGTTTCGTGATAGTTTTCTTAAAGTATTTTTAAAATAACTTTGTTTGTAGTATAATCATAGCATTATGTCGAATATAGAAGATTTTAGTGATTCTGAAAGCAAAGTGATTCGGAAAAGCAAAAATTGGTAAAACCTTCGAAAATATTGACTGTAGATGCCCTAAAGAGTGTTTTGCGGTATTTACAGAATGTGAAAGACAAGAAATGTTTGAATCATTCTGGAATTTAAAAGACTTTAACCAGCAAAATTCTTATCTTTACGCATTGGTACAAAAATCGACAGTTAACAGAAAACGCCTTAAAGATCATTCACATACAAAAATCTGCCAGTAGATATTCCAACTCGGTCAAGCACACGTTATGCTGAAGAGCGATTTGATGATGAAATAATATTATGACTAAAACACTAAACGAAATGATTTTATGTTTGAATATGTCATTTCAACAGTGAAGTAACTCCAGATAATAAAAATATTTCGTCTTTAATTAAAAAATGTTTAATTTTTGTTTAAGTTACTACCTGTTAATATAATCATTGATTTGTCCTAAATAATTGTATATACATATAAAAAATTTAACAAATATTTGTGTATATTTTAATATACGCCAATTACTAAAACCATTCGTTTCTCGAAACTTAAAAACAAGGAGTTTATTCACTATTATAATGAACGACACATTTAATTCAACGCAATTTTCTTAATTCATATACCAAATTTTAATGATTTTTATACGATTTGCTTGCGATTTTTTACGAGTACGCCTCTGAAAAAAAAAACGAACAAAAAATGCATTTCATTCATCCATTTCCGATGCTGCACTTGGACTTTTTAAAGACGTTCATTAACGACGCTAGTGGAATAATAAGCATATGGTAAGCATTTGTATGAGTTTCTCGTCCATATAACTTCTTCGAAATAAGTACAACGTCATTTTTAATTCGATTCGAATTAAAGCAAGTGAAGTGGATTTTCATAGAGAAGTCCATTTAATATCTCGAAAGAGTCATTTATACATCCAAAGAATGTCATTTAACCACCTTATAAAGTGTTGTTTTCTAAACAATTTAATTAATTCTCATTAATTGCAGCGTTGCCAACACAATTTTACAACCATTTAAAATTTTCCAATTTATTTTACGTTATAAATTTAGATAAATATTGAAGGAATCGTTGATTAGTATTTACTCGTGCGGTCTAGTTGGTTAATTGGACATTTTAACAGTTATTTTACATATTGAAAAATTTATTACGTTGTATATCGTAATTATAAATTCGAATAAAAAAAAATACGAAATTATAACTGACTCATAATTCGAATCGCCGGGCCGTGACTAATAAATTCGTTATATCATCGTTTTTGACGGTCAAGTGGATATCAATTTGTTTTTAATTTTTTATTAAACGAATCCCACAGGTTAAAGTTTGAATTCACCATTTAAAAATCCAACGGCGGTTTACTATTTTTAAAATTTTCTCACCGATGGAATTGATCTCGGCTCGTTAAGGATTAAAATTTAATCTCGTTTTGAAACTGAAGAATGCGGCTTGCCTGATGTTTGTATGCATAATGATATTTAAGTGCATAAGATCGGTTTAGTATAAATTTGTATAATTTATATTATCATAATATTTTGCTAACGAGCATGTAAATATTTTACGAAGCCATGTATGACATAAATTACCATTAAACTAAATGTATGGCATTTATAATTATAAAAAACCTGAAAAGGCTTATTAATACTATTATAATCAAATTTTACCTTGTTATGCAGTGATATAATACTCTAAAATGCCATTTTCGGATTGCAAATCTTGTTTATTTGCATAATTTATTGATAAAAATACAATTTTAATTTTTTATTTTTTTTAGGAAATGGTCCAAGCCAAGGACCCTCCTTCTTATTATTTAAATAAATTACGAACATACCTTGATCCCAAGGCATCCAGAAGTCACAGAGTAAGTATTCGAGTGAATAATAATTGTTAATTAATTCTAATAATTTTCCCACCCTCTAAGGACGCTTCGAATAAATTACCATTTAATTGCCAAACGTAAACGCTCATAACTTAAATTACACGTTGTTGAAACTACCCGTTTAATTTCCCGATCAATTCCAAACGTTTTTTTTTTTCACGTTATACCATACAAAAGGGTTGTTTTATAATTTTAATTGCACCAACAAACTTCTTTGTCCACCCCGAAGCATAACTAAAACTTTAATCGGCATTATTTTCTACGTTTACACAGAGCAGTTACGACTTTACACGTAATAATTCCTCCCTTAAGGGCGCCACTTCGGGGTATTTTTAAATGTGAAAACATAGGTTCAGTAATTCCAGTAAGATTCAAATTTGGCTTCATCAATTGATTTGAATCTTTCTTATGTATCTAATGTAGAGACTCCAAGCAATGATATATCCTATTTTTAATCTCTCCTACTTCATTACATATTTAAGAAAATTGCAATCAAAAACTGCTATTTATTTGCAATGTTATTTAAATGGTAAAATGTAATTCCAGTAAGACTCGAGTTTCCTCAAACGGATGTGTAAATAATTTTAGTAGGATAAAAATACTTATTACAGAACTATGTCTCCTAGTTTATATTTATCCATAGGTTGTATTAAATTGAAAAAAAACTATTTAAAGTATTTTAGCAAATGATGATGATAGATTCCTGTAAATTATGGTGTCGCCTGACATAAATGTCAAATCACAGAACAATTTTGTAAATTTGACTAGCGACAGCGGTGCCAGTATTTTCCCTTTTTCAGATATTTTTGGATAATTTGCACTTTTTTAAAGGCGGGTAATATGAAATAAAGTATTTCCAGTGCACCGGAATACTTTTAGAGCACTTTAATGAGTATTTTTAAAATCCTACTTTTATCTTTTCAAATTGGAGAGAAAAGAATTGAATTTGAAAAATAGTTCTATACAGGATGTTCCAATCAAAAGTAGCCCCTTTAGTGAGCTAATAATTTTTAAACGCCTAATCATAAAAACATGCGGTTTTCGCTGGTATATTTTATTTTGCTATAACTTTTTGTTACAGTGACACAATAATTTTGACACAAGTGACATAAGTGACACAAGTACAGAGTGTTTCATAAAAATCCCCTCTTTTAAATTCACATTAACCAAATTTCATGAAATAGGACATCTTCTTTTGTAGAATAATATGTACAAATAACACATTTTTGAAAAGTACAAGAGTATATCTTTCAAAATACCTCTATATATAAGGGGTGTTCCATTTAAAAAAAAAGGTTAATGCGTGAATTTAAAAGAGGAGATTTTATAAAACACCCTGTATTGGTAATGCATAATTTCTGTACCACTGTAACAAAACTTATAATAAAATAAAACATATTTGAGAAAACCGCATGTTATTATGATTAGGAATATATAAAAAATAATGGAAAAAATATAATAGATTTACTATATAATAAAAATTGTAAGCTTATTAATGGGGCTACTTTTAATTGGAACACCCTGTATTACCCCACGAATTATGAATTTGAGGGCGTACTTTGGCGGCCTTAAAACTCAAATTGTACGTGGAAAAAATATTTTTCTTGTACCATTTGTCTTTGCAATCTTGATTTTGTTTACAAAACCAAAACGTTCACCCCCATGATGTCATGTTAAACAGAGATCAATCGACCGTACAAACGGGGGTCTTAACAATAATTTGTGTGCAAACCCCCTGCTGTTTAACACAGTCACACCCTCCCGTTATCCAAACAATTCTTGACGAGCCGTCTGAAGAGCGTATACGTTTACACAGTAATTTCAAACCTTGTATTTATTTATTTTCTCGAAAGGTTCAATAATTACAGTGTATGTTTCAGAAACGAAAAATGGTTCTGGACTCGACTTCGACGCAAGTTCTTAGAGATTTAGAAATATCGTTACGTACAAATCACATAGAGTAAGTAAATCGCACAATTTTAGTACATACAGGGTGGCACATTAGTATGGAAAAACTCAATATGTCTGTTATTATAGAAGGTGTCAAAAAAACTTCATTACAAAAGTTGTATAGATCTTTTTAAACTGCATATTTTAAAATTAGTTACATTTATACAGAGTGTCCCGTTTTTTATTTAAAAATTGAATTTAGCTCGTTTTCAGCTTTTCACGAAAATCGTACTAAGTTTACCACTTTGTAGAAACTAAATGGATTGAATTGAAAATAAATTTTAAATTTTGCAACATTGCAGATATCCTGAAAAATGTACAAAATGAATATTTTTCGTCAATTTTAATCACACTGTTTACAGGGTGGGTCCAAACGCAAAAGTAACATTTTCTCTGTTATTTTAAATGGATCACCCTATATTTTATATCGTTAACAGGAAGTATTTTTGAAGTACTTTCATCCTTAATAACCATTCCCTATACCTAAAGTTAAAACTGTTCGAGATATTCCAATTAAAAAAAAATTGGTCGAAAAATTGAAGAAAAAAAAAAGGTTTCTTTTTGATCGAAGTAAAACGTCAATTAAATACTATCTGATATTATTTGTCGGTATTGCCTCTACAATTTGTAAAAATTAGAATACAAAATGAATTTTTCTATTGAACAATTATTGATGGTTATGATTTGGGTATTGGGAGAAAGTTTAGAGAATTTGTTTGTTTGCCAAAAGGATTTGCCTTGAGAGATATCCTGGAGGAATACAAGCTAACAAAAAATCCTTTGAAAAATGTCTAGATTGTTTCAACTATACAGGTTCCGCGGCATACGAAAAGCGAGAATGTGAAAAAACTGTTCTAAACGAACAAAATGGACCAAATTATTATTAATAATTGGTATTAGCAATTGTTATAAGTCGCAACAGACACAATAAAGTTATTAGTACCTACACGATTAGCGATTAGTATCTGGTGATAGGTTAGTTCAATTAAAGAACAATTTTTACCAGATAGTGTAATTTACATTTCTTACTTCTTTCATTAATGTGAACTTTGGTTATTATCAAAAAGAAAGCTTAATTTTTTCCTTCAATTTTAAGTTCTATTTTTTTAATTGAAATATCTCTAAAAGTATTAATCTTTAGGTATAGGGTATGATTAATAAGAATGAAAGTACTTTAAGAATACTTCCTATTAACGATATAAAATACAGGGGGATCCATTTAAAATAACGGAGAAAATGTTACTTTTGCGTTTGGATCCACCCTGTAAGCAATATGATTAAAATTGACAAAAAATATTCATTTTGTACATTTTCAGTATATTTACATTGTTGTAAAACCTGAAATTTATTTTCAATTCAATCCATTTAGTTTCTACAGAGTGGTAAACTTAGTACGATTTTCGTAGAAAACTGATCATAACTTTTAAACCACTCAGTATAACGTTATACAAAATTATATTTTTGGAAAGCTGAAAACGAGCTTATTTCAATTTTTAAATAAAAAACAGGGCGTTCCATTTAAAAAAGTATAAGTTTGATCTACTACAGAAAAACGGGACATTCTGTATAAATGTAACTAATTTTAAAATACACAGCTTAAAAAGAACTACAACTTTTGTACTGAAGTTTTTTTTGATATCTTCTACAATACCAGATACATCGAGCTTTCCCATACTAATATGCCACCCTTTATATTCATAACGAATAACACTTGCTTGTTAGATGGGTTAGGGAATTTCTGAACGAGGAGAACCTCGGCTTGGACGTGCTCATCGATTACCTCAGCTTCCGATTGGGCATGATGAGGCACGAACAGAGAATAGCGGAGTCTCGAACGTCCTCCGAAGAGAAACTGGGAGGCAACGAAAGGAACCAGACCAGCCAAAATAATTTGGAGAAGAGCAACGGTTACATTCGAGCTCCGTTGGACATGCAAGACAGCCCGAACATCAAAAGAAGATCGAAACACGTCGCCAAATTGAACATGGGCCATTCCAAAGACGACATCCACGTGTGCATCATGTGCATGAGAGCCATAATGAACAACAAAGTATACATACAGTGCATTTCTTTAATGTCCCCCAGCCCCCCTTTTATTTTTTGAACGGATCAACTTAAAAAATTGAAATTTGGGATAATGAAACTAATGCATGATTACTATATTTTGGAGTAAAATTTACAGATGAAAATTTCAAGATGGCGACTGGGCGCCATCTTGGGAAATAAATTTAAATGGAAAGGGGGGTCTTGTGACACATTATTTTGAAGCTCCTGACAAATACTGTACAACCCTGGAATATAAAGTCAATATTTGCACCCATTACAAAATGGCGGAACATTTAATAATTACCTGAATACAAACAAATTAATATCAATTTTTCTAGAATTATTTGTTTTTCTATGCCAAATAGCAATCCCAACAAACCGATAAGGTTTGACAGGTTATTTTTGGTTAAAAAAATTCCAAAAAATTTAAGTACGACAACGAACATTAATTGTTTAGTCAAAATATTCTCATTTAGTTTTTGGTTTTCCTAGTGTTCAAAATATTCTCTTTAGTTTTCGATTTTCCTAGTGTTCAAAGTATTTTCATTTAGTTTTCGGTTGTTTAGTTCTCATTGCAGTTAGGTAGCACGTGAACTAACTCTAAAATGGCCAATTCTCGTCCATTTGAAGATGGAGCACCACCACATTACTCCAGACAAGTAATGAACTATTTGGATGCTATTTTCCCTGGTCGTTGGATTGGTCATCGAGGTTCTACGGAATGGCCAGCCCGCTCGCCAGATTTGACACCTTTAGACTTTTTTATGGGACTATTTGAAGCAAAAAGTGTACGAAACTGAACCTGCTTTAATATTGGATATACGAGAAATAATTACAGATATTTGTAGAAATATCGACGTTACTATGTTTAAAAATGTTCGGTTAGGCTGTTCTTATTTCAAGAAGTTCAAGGCAACCATTTCGAGCTTTTTTTAACTAAACTCAGCCAATTTTCTCAAATTATGACGTTAAACGTCGATGTATTCAGGTAATTATTAAATGTCTGCCATTTTGTAGCAGGTGCAGATATTGACTTTATATTCCAGGGTTGTAGAGTATTTGTCAGGAGCTTCAAAATGATGTGTCACAAGACCCCCCTTTCCATTTAAATTTATTTCCCAAGATGGCGCCCAGTCGCCATCTTGAAATTTTTAATCTGTCAATTTTACTCCAAAATATTAGGTTTGTTCCTTTAAAAAGTCACTGATTTGTTACCAATAAGTTTCTGACTCTTCTATTTCGCATGCGCGGTTTATAATTGAATGGTGTAATCAAATTTCCGATTTCTTGATGGAACAGTCTTAACATTTATTACATATTCACCAAGTATCAAACAAAAACAATAAACACCATAACCTAATAATTAAACGTTAATTAATGTTCGGAAATACAAATTAAACCCAAATTAAAAATGCGCTTGCGCCGGATTCTAAATCTATGTACTATCAATAAATTTTTCTGACTATCACAAAACCAGTCCCTTGAACTCTTGGAACAATAAATTGTTAACCAAATCAGAACCAGAGATGTCTGTGGAGTTTGTTGGAACGCCTAAATTATTACTGCGCAGACTCCTGACGACCACCGACTATTTCTGACTGTTGTAGGAACAAACCTATTGTAATCATGCATTAATTTCATTATTTCAATTTTCTAAGTTGATCCGTTCAAAAAATAAAAGGGGGGGGGGCATTAAAGAAATGCACTGTAGAACTAAACCAATTTCATTGCTCCACCTATATAAATCAACTTTTACGGTTTGCAGTACGGTTTTAACATGGTGATACAACATCGGGAGGCAATCAATTGCATATCGCTGAGCCTCATCCACAAAAGCCTCAGAACGAAGGCCTTGGTTTTGGAACTTCTAGCCGCCATATGTCTAGTCAAAGGCGGACACGAAATCATCCTGTCCGCTTTCGATAATTTCAAGGAAGTTTGCCACGAGGCCCATCGCTTTCAAACCCTCATGGATTATTTCCTCAACTACGAAGTCTTCCACATCGAATTTATGGTATGATTTATTCCACCCCCTTCTCCTCGACGTTCCTCTCTCCCAATGAACAATTTTGGTAAAATTTACGAAATTTCTACCAAAATGGGGAATGTTTTTTTAGTATATTTTACGAAAAATTTACCGTCCTTTACACTACTAAAATACGTTGCAGATTCGTATTATTTACGAATAAAATACGGAATTATTACTTTGTAGTAACTTGATGTGGGGGGATCTCACTTTTATCTGCATCTTTGTTTTTTACAACGAAATACCAATAATGTTATATCGTTCTATATTTCTCAACTTTATTACATCATACTACGAATGGCGTTTATAAAAGTTGAAGTGAATATTATTAGGTTAACTCATATATATTATTATATTTCATTTATATTGGCATAAAAAAATAGAACGCAAGAGACTTTACTGATAAATATGAAAGTTGTAATTCGAAAAATTATAAGCGCCTTTCGAAAATGTAATTTTAGGATATACGAAAGATCAAAAATCGTGAAAATCAAAAATATAACTTAAATTTTGATTACACAATTTCTGTTTAAGAACTAATATTAGTATCTATAATATAATAATAACAAAAAATTGAATTAAAAAACTCAAATAATGACTCTTTTACGGCCTTAATTAAAATATCAAAATAATTGACAAATCCACGGATACCTTTTATATGTAAAAAATATGGCGATATGCCATCCTCTCTAGAGAAATATACTTTGTGGTAAAATTTTGCTATAACTCCTTACTTTAAAGTACATTTTACTTCATAGTACTTTTATCAGGAATAATATACTTTAAAGAAATTATACTATAAGTACATTCTACTTATAGGTATTTCATCGAAATTAAAACAAGTGTTTGAAACTTAAAAGTTTACTTACAAGTAACTTACGCCAAAGTATAAACTGAAGTATATTTTACGAATATAAAACTATTAAATATACTTGTAGGTATAAAAAACGTTATAGTATTATTTTGGAAATCAAATAGTTTTGCACCGTTTTTATACCAAAACGTTAACTTTGAGTTGTACCATTCAAGTATTAGTTTAGTTTCTGAAACGTTTTGACTTACCATAAAGTAAATAAATCATAAAGGAATATTTGGAAGGTGAAAATACTTTTTAATTACTACAAGAATCAAACTTTCAAGTATCATTCACATATAAGTTAAAAATTTGGTATCATATACGTAATATTACCTAAATTTTAGTGCAAAAACCTCAGTGATCGTTTCTCATACTTATTTTGCTCATTGGGAGGTAGCTCTTAATCCACAATCGTTTCCAAAGGTGGCCTGCATGCAATTCGTCAACATCATCGTACATTCGGTCGAAGACATGAACTTCCGGGTGCACCTCCAGTACGAATTCACCGCCTTGGGGCTCGACAATTACTTGGAGAAGCTGCGGTTCACCGAGAGCGAGGAGCTGCACGTGCAGATATCCGCCTATTTGGACAACGTCTTCGACGTGGCCGCCCTCATGGAGGACAGCGAGACGAAGACGGCCGCTTTGGAGAAGGTCACCGATCTCGAGGACGAAATCGCCCAGGTAAAAAATTTCGTCGGGAGATTCGGTTGATTTCGTTCGATGAACGCGGTTCGATTTAGATGCACGAGAGGCTGCAGGACGTCGAGCACAGCGCCTTGGAGAAAATCGCCGGTTTGGAGACGGAGTTGAAACAGGCGAGACAGGAAAGGGACGAATTGGTGGAGGGTAAGAAGAAGGCGGACGAGGAGGTGACGACGTTGAGGCGGGTCGTGCAAGAGTCGAAAAACAGGCAATCGATGTTCGAGTCCAAAATGGCCGAGTTGGAGCATTTGAGTAGCTTACCTCGAGGATCGTCAAGTAAGGAACCTATACTTCATCCATCGAAGCAATGGAGTAACTAAAACAAGTTTAGACGCTGGATCAATGCGTGATCATCAGTGATTGGTCAGCGTAAGGAGGCTTTTTTATTTTACCCAATAGATGCGAATGTGCTTGATGATCCAGCGTCTAACCTTGTTTTGGTTACTCCGTTGGTTCGATGGATGAAGTATAAATCAATCTGATGCTATGACTTGTGTATGTTACGGATGCGCGAAATAACCAAAAAACATGAGTAGGGAAGGTTTTTTTGGGTTTCTGTTATGCCCAAATAAACTTACACCACCCTACTCTATTGCTCATTTTCTCCAAAGAATCACATGATTAAAACTAATCACATGATAAAAATATATCACAAGTTTTTCCTACATATTTTTCCCTAATACAAATTCTTATCCTGTGATAAGGCTAGGATAAGGTACCCAATTTTGATGACTTGTGATCAACTTTTGCTTTATAACTGAGTTTTGTTTCTTTTGTGCTGCTTTTTCAAAAATTTAAATGTGGATCATAAATCGTAACGTAGATGAAGTAGATGTCATTGAAAGAAAAAATTCTATTGTCTAAGCAATCAAAAGTTTTGTGTGGTTAGAGGTTAGGGGACATCTAACCTCAAAAGAATACAGCATTGCTACCAACTCACTATCTACTGAACGATCTTGAGGTGTCTTGAACTAGAAATTTACAACGTTGCCAATTCGAAATTTTTCACACTCATGATAAGGCACAGAATATTTGGGGAAACACTCCTGTGATCACAACATTATCCTACATTATAAGTGAACTTACATATGATCAGGCTTGTGATGCTTTGTAGAAAATGGGCATAAGTTGCATAATACTCACTAAGAAATGCCCTGGATCCCTTCACCGCAAGTTGGTACTGCTATTTCTGGCTAACGTCAGTCGTTTGATGGATATTCTTCTACCGTTCCTCTGCTTCCTTTCTTCTCATGACCTCCTCTATCCATTCCATAATCATCTCGAGGATTTGTTCGTCGAAATACATAGTTATACCAAGGACTTATTCTATACGACAGAGCCCATCGTTAATGACAGCGATCTAGTCGAGCTCGCTTTAACTATTTAACTTATTTTATTTAATTATTTAACTGTCTATGTGTAGGAGGCCGTCAGACCTCCGAGCTGCGGGTCTATGTGGCAGAGCCCATCGTTTATCACAGTGAAAAAATCGAGCTCGCGCAGCGATCGAGGCTTTGGGCGCTTAACTGCGTTTGCGCAGAACGCCGACAGGCGTTCGAGCTGCTTGTTTATGTGGCAGAGCCCATTATTATTATTGCAATTAACGAATAAACTCGAGCTCGCGCAGCGTCCCTTCATATTCCTGTGTCGTGATGATAGCAGCATGTCCAGCAGTAGCTGATGACTTCTGATTTGCAGTCCTTGTATGAACTCGACTCTACCTTACCCTACCTTATACACTGTGTTATTTATAAGATGCGACATAGGGATTCCCCTAGATCAAACAATATAGATGCATAACTCAATGTCATAATTTTAAAGCTAAGAAGCGACATCTACAAATTCGAAGGAACTAAATACAACGTTGCCATATTGCCAAAGATTTATTTTTTATATATTTGATTTGTTTGTGTAAATACAGGGTGTAAATAAATGGTTGAGAAAGAATTTAATGGGTTATTCCTTGTCGAAAGAAAAGAACTTTTATATTAAAAAAATGTTTGACTAGGAATCACCGCTTAAATTCTTTCCCAACCATTTATTTTTAATAGGAATATATAGGTCACCCAAACGTTTTTAAAAAACTAGGACGAAATCAACATTTTTGTTGGGATTTGGAAATGTGTGTTTACTAGCTGTGGATCCCCAACAACTACTAATTGCACAATAAATGCCGACCATCTGAAATAAATAACAAATATTTATTATTTATCGAAGCACTTTTAACTGGTTAAATAAATAGGTATTTCCTTAATTACTACAAAATTACTATCATTCAAATTTTGACACTTTTGACTTTTTGCGACGACGCTGTGTTGCCATGTCTCTTTTGTTGGCTGTGAAAGCAGCTCCAGCGCCATCTGTTTATTCGAAGAAACTAAAAATAATTCTCAGAAACACCAATTCAAGAAAAACATCTATAGGTTTTGTCTATGGGGATTCCTGTACAAATGTGTCAAAAGCAAGCTAAATTTTTTATCAAATAACGTTCATAAAAAGTAATAACAGATTTGAAAAGATCGTAAAAAATAAGTCGAAATGGACATTAAATTTTCTTAAATTCGTTCTGGTTTATTAAAAAAATGTATAATTAAGTTGAAAAAGTCATACGCCATAAATAAGTCCTTTTTATAACACTATCTAATTTGTTGTAAAAGGGGCAGAGCTAACAGAGATGGTTAACGCTTTGCAATTTGAAAAAATAATCTTGAAGTTATGTGGTTCAAACCGCGCTTGGACCAAAGTTTTTGTTTTTTTTTTTTTTGGTTTTTTTATTGTTTTTATCTAAAAAAATGTCAAATAAGAGTATTTAAATTAAGACATGCTTAAATGGGAAAAAATTAATTTTTATTTAATTAAATGGTTTTACAGACAATTTTTTATTGGGTTTCCTAAAAAATAAGGTTGCTGAAAATCAACCAAAGACAGAAGAGGAATTGTAAAATATTATTACTAACGAATGTCAAAAAATTAGTAGAACTAATAATGATTAGTAGAACTAATCGTAATTAATAATGTACGGCGGAACTTTTATCATCGTTTGGGACTGTTTAGCAGAAAAACCAAACCAAAAAAATAAAAAAAAAACTTTTGCCCAAGCGCGGTTTGAACCACATTACTTCAAGATGATTTTTTCAAATTGCAAAGCGTTAACCATCTCTGTTAGCTCTGCCCCTTTTACAACAAATTAGATAGTGTTATAAAAAGGACTTATTTATGGCGTATGACTTTTTTTAACTTAATTATACATTTTTTTAATAAACCAGAACGAATTTAAGAAAATTTAATGTCCATTTCCACTTATTTTTTACGATCTTTTCAAATCTGTTATTAAGTTTTATGAACGTTATTTGGTAAAAAAGTTAGCTTGCTTTTGACACATTTGTACATGAATGTCGCATCTTGTACATAAATAACACAGTGTATACTCGCATTTCCCACTTAACCCGGGCTAAACCTAGGTTTATTTCTTTACCTGCAACATATACAAGGTGTCTCAGAACTTTTTGTACATAGAACACAATCGTTCGATCCATTGTAACATCTTTTATTTACCAATTTTCCAGTGTCCGGAATAGCCGATTTGGCCAAGCGACCGGCCGAAACGACGGCGACGCCGTCACCGCCGCCCTGCCCGCCACCGTGCCCGCCCATCGCCCTTTCGACCGCCGCCGCCGCCGCCCCGCCGCCGCCTCCTTGCCCGCCGCCGCTGCCGCTCAAACCGAGCGGTAACATTCCGCCGCCTCCGGCCGGTTTCATGCAGGCCCCCGACGGGGCGATGACGATCAAACGAAAGGTGCAAACGAAATACAAATTGCCGACCGTCAATTGGATCGCATTGAAACCGAATCAAGTCAGAGGGACCATTTTCAACGAACTCGACGACGATAAATTGCACGGTTACATCGATTTTAATGATTTCGAAGAAAGGTGCGTTTTTTTTGCATAGACTTATTAACTATGGACGCGGTTTAGACAAAACCCCAATGAACAATTTTGGTAAAATTTAAGTGTTTCCTACCTAAAGTAGTTACTTTAAAGTATATGCCATTTGGAACAGATACGTATTAAATACGTAAAAATAACGAAATTTCTACCAAAATGGGAAATGATTTTTGAGTATATTTTACGAAAAATTTACCGTCCTTTACACTACTAAAATATGTTGCAGATTCGTATTATTTACGAATAAAATACGGGATTATTATTTTGTAGTAACTTGATGTGGGGATACCTCACTTTTATCTGCATCTTTGTTTTTTACAACGAAATACCTATAATGTTATATCGTTCTATATTTCTCAACTTTATTCCATCATACTACGAATGGAGTTTATAAAAGTTGAAGTGAATATTATTAGATTAACTCATATAAGTATATTATATTTCATTAATATTGGCATAAAAAAATAGAACGCAAGAGACTTTACTGATAAATATGAAAGTTGTACTTTGAAAAATTATAAGCGCCTTTCGAAAATGTAAATTTTGGATATACGAAAGATCAAAAATCGTGAAAATCAAAAATATAAGTTAAATTTTTATTACACAATTTCTGTTTAAGAACTAATATTAGTATCTATAGTATAATAATAACAAAAAATTGAATTAAAAAACTCAAATAACGACTCTTACGACCTTAATTAATATATCTAAAAAAATTGACAAATCCATGGCTACCTTTTATATGTAAAAAATATGGCGGTATGCCATCCTCTCTAGAGAAATATACTTTGTGGTAAAATTTTGCTATAACTCCTTACTTTAAAGTACATTTTACTTCATAGTACTTTTATCAGGAATAATATACTTTAAAGAAATTATACTATAAGTACATTCTACTTATAGGTATTTCATCGAAATTAAAACAAGTGTTTGAAACTTAAAAGTTTACTTACAAGTGACTTACGCCAAAGTATAAACTGAAGTATATTTTACGAATATAAAACTATTAAATATACTTCTAGGTATAAAAAACGTTATAATATTTTTTTTCGAAACCAAATAAGTGTTGCTTACTTTAGTTTTGCACCGTTTTTATACGAAAACGTCCCGTTAACTTTGAGTTGTACCATTCAAGTATTAGTTTAGTTTCTGAAACGTTTTGACTTACCATAAAGTAAATAAATCATAAAGGAATATTTGGAAGGTGAAAATACTTTTTAATTACTACAAGAATCAAACTTTCAAGTATCATTCACATATAAGTTAAAAATTTGGTATCATATACGTAATATTACCTAACTTTTAGTGCAAAAACCTTAGTGATCGTTTCTCATACTTATTTTGCTCATTGGTATTAGCCAATAGGGTAGCGGAGGGTATTGTGATTTATTATTTTTTTGCCGAGCAAAATGCATTTTTCAGCTGAGCCTAAATTCCCACGCATTTGCAAATACAGTTCTTATTTTGTATTGTTAATTGGAACATCCCACCTATTAGCCAGTACAGATTTCGCAATTTAAGACCTAACTGCTTTCTCTTGTAAAAAATATGTTTCTTCCTGGTCATTCTTCTGTCCAAGTGGATACCAAGATAAAAACAATATTTAAATATTAAGCGTATAAATAATTTAACAGATTAATCACCTTTTTCCACACACCCTGTATATATTTTATATATTTTTTGGTCCCGCCTACTTTTAGCCCAAACTAGCTCCATCTCTCACGGACCTCTCTCTCTTTATCATTGGGAACGCTGAATAACCTCAAAATAACGATTGTGCCGCGTCCATACTTAATAGGTCTATGGTTTTTTGGAATTTGGCGTTTTTTTGATTGTTGATTCATTGATTGGCGTTTGGTTTTTTTTTTGTAGATTTAAAATAGGCAATACGAATCTAATGTCGAATGGAGTTAACGAAACTGATGGACTTCACACTTTCCCCAGCAAACGAGGAAAGAAACAAGAGAATGTCACATTGTTGGAACACACTAGATTAAGAAATATAGGTAATGTCCGATTTCATCGACGATAAATAGATCTACAAATAGTTATTCGATGAATAACTTTTAAGCTCCGGTTAAATATTTTGATGTTTCACCAACATTTTTAATCTTTAGTTAGCTATTTAACAGTTTAAGCAAATATTTCTGGTAAAATCAACCTTTAGAATTCAAATCTTTTCAAAAAAAAAAGAAGATTTCGAACTGAATTGTTTAGGTTAGGTTTTTGTCACTTTGACGTGTGAATATTGGGAAAGGAGCAAAAATTACTTGGAAGAGGAGAAGGAAAATTTAATAACAAGACTTCTTTCTAAAACAATTCTAATTAATATGCAAATTTTAATTAATAATTAATATGTCCCATTTTTCATGTAAAATGTAAGATGAATTATCTTGTTAAACATGCCTTTCGAAATAAGTTAAAAACAACTTAAATAACTTAAAAAGTACATAATATTTGTATTATCTTTAACCTGCATTATTCTCAAACGAACTAAAAATATAACCAATAAATAAATAAAAATAAAAATTGGTAATCAGAAAAACACTTATTAGATATCAAAAATTAATAATATTTGAGGTTAGAAAACATCAAATAAAACTTTAACTATCCAAATTTCGTTGGTTAATTTAAACGCCAATTTAATCGTCGAATAACGCTATTTGTTGTTGGTGATACCGGACATAAAAAATGTATTATTTAGAAAAAATGCCTTTAAAATAAATTAATAATTTTATTCGTTTCAGCAATATCTAGGCGTAAATTAGAAATGACACCAGATAAAGTAATTAATGCCATCAATATGTTAGATTTGAAACAACTTTCATTGGAAAACGTCGAACTCCTTCAACGAATGGTACCGACCGAACAAGAAACGAAAGCCTACAGGGAGTACGTTAACGAAAAGAAAAACGTCAATTTGCTAACGGAAGAGGATAAGTTTCTGTTGCAATTGACGAAAGTCGAAAGGATATCGGCCAAATTGGGAATAATGAATTATATTGGGAATTTCTTCGATAGCATACACCTCGTCTCGCCTGTAAGTCGATCAATATCCAGAGAGACTATTTAACGCTTCCCCCCCGTATTCGACTATTTAGGATTATCAAACTCTGATAATAGTTACGCACGTATTCGGAAGTTTTTTTTTATCAATCGAATTGGTTTTGTAACCAACGATTATGTATTTCCGTAGTTTTTTGTCATTCTTCTGCCATTTGCCCTTTAAAACGTTCCAGAATCATTTAAAAGAACGCTCTAAAATCATTTAAAACTGTCCAGAACCATTTAGAACTCTCCAGATTCAATTAGAATGCACCAAAATCATCTAGAACTATCTTGAACAATTAAGAACGCTCCGGAACTATTTAAAACTGTCTAGAACTATTTAGAATGCTCCAGAACTATTTAGAATTGTCCAGACTCATTTAGAGTACTCCAGAATCATTAAGAATGGTCTATAACCATTTTGAATGTTCCAGAATTATTTGGAACCGTCTAAATTTAGTCTAAAACATTCTAGATTTCATCATCCTTTAAAACTATCCAGACTCAATTAGAATGCACCAAAATCATCTGGAACTATCTAGAACAATTAAGAACGCTCCGGAACTATTTAAAAGTGTCTAGAACTATTTAAAATGCTCCAGAACTATTTAGAACTCTCCAGACTGATTTAGAACACTCCAGAATTATTAAGAATGGTCTATAACCATTTTTAATGCTTCAGAATCATTTGGAACCGTCTAAATTTAGTCTAAAACATTCTAGATTTCATCGTCTTTTAAAACTCTCCAGACTCAATTAGAATGCACCAAAATCATCTAGAACTATCTTGAACAATTAAGAACGCTCCGGAACTATTTAAAACTGTCTAGAACTATTTAGAATGCTCCAGAACTATTTAGAACTCTCCAGACTCATTTAGAGCACTCCAGAATTATTAATAATGATCTATAACCATTTTTAACGCTCCAGAATCATTTGGAACTGTCTAATTCAGTCTAAAACGTTCTAGATGAACATAAAACATTTCATCATCCTTTAAAACTCTCAGAACAATTAAGCGCTCCGGAACCATTTAAAACTGTTTAGAATATTGAACGTTGAAGTCGAGGCCCAATTTAGAAGAAGAAGAATGACAAAAAAACTAGCCTGATTTTTATCTTTTTTAAGATTCAAATAAGCAACGTTGCAATGTTTAACATTTGGAAATATTTAATCGTTCGTTACAAAACCATTTGGTTATAAAAAACTTAATAAAGGTGTCAGTCTCATAAAATTTAACTGTCGGTTAACAATCTTTGTTATTCTTCACGATATTTGAACTAACTGATAGCAAACATACAGTTTTCTTAAAATTTTAAATTTTAATTAAATGCTCCATTGTATTAGGTAAAAAAAAATGTTACTTCTAAATTATTGTAAAAACTTTTGAAAATTTCAACATTTGGATTGAAATTATTAGTCTGTTACTTCTGTTATCAGTTCGATTTTGTTCAGTTTACTTTTATCCGACTGTTAAGTATTAAACTGACATTGGTAAATACCGAAATATGACGTTAACAGATTGATAAGATAAGAACTTATCTCTCTGTTAGCGATTTAACAGCCGTTTTAGCGATTTAATATGTTCGTTAAACCCTTTTCGGTTATTTTTTAGTTTAGATTACGAACTGTTGCGCGTGCGCCAATTTCGTGAAATTTCTCAGCTCTATTTCTAGCAAAAATAGATAGATGCTTAAGTGTAGGAGGGTAGAGTAGGGTAGAAAGAGGTAGAAGGGGATAGAATTCCTAATATATTTTGAAAAATTGCAAGACGAAATTATCGATTTGTAGTAAATTACATTCCAAATATACCGGATGTCCCACGACGAGTTAAAACCATCTGTAATTAGGAATCTACTTATCCGATTTAAATAATATTTGGTATTTTTATGTTATGCAATAAGACGAACCTCTTAAAAATACTGAAAAAAATACCTAAAAAATACCTCTTAATATTTTGACAGTCTGGTTGTATCAGAAGTAGGCATTAACTTTTCATTATTATTCGTTATTTCAAATGGAACACCCTGTAAATTAATATATTTTCGAAATGTACGTCAAATTTTAGGGCACTTTTTTCAAAAATGCATACTTTTTGAGTAAAATTTTTTTTTGAAAAATTTAACCGATGCAGGTCCTTATAAATTATTTTTTTACGAGGATCACCTTAAAGATATGGAAATTGTTTCTGTAGGGAAGCTACTAGCAAGGCCAAAGGTATTTGAATATGTGTTAAAAAACTTTTTATTTTATACAGGGCGTGTACAAAAAATGTGAAAAGTTGAACTTCAAAAATATCAAATTTCTTCATTTGTTAAAATGGAACCACCCATTTTTTTCTATTTTATTGAAATCAAGGGTAACGCTTTAACTCGTCGTGACATACCCTTTATATTTTTGACAAATTTTTATCATTTTCAATTATTTCTGTTTACTCACTGAAATTAAACACGCACTGGCAACGATGCACTGTTTTTGACAGCACTGTCAGCCGAGAAATTTCACGAAATTGTCGCGCATGCGCAACAATTCGCAATCCAAACAACAACCACTTAAACGAATAAATTGTTTCTTTTTTTGCAGCAAGTGCACGCGATAATATCCGCATCGAATTCGGTGAAGAATTCGAAGAAACTCAGATCGGTGTTGGAAGTCATCCTGGCGTTCGGTAATTACTTGAACAGCAGCAAAAGAGGACCAGCATACGGTTTCAAATTGCAATCGCTCGATACTCTCTTAGATACGAAATCGACCGATAAACGATTGTGCCTTTTGCATTACATTGTTGCCACGATCAGACAGAAATTTCCGGAGATGCTCAACTTCGATTCCGAGCTGCATTACATCGAGAAAGCGGCAGTTGGTATGTCGACGTTGCAACAGTTGCATATTTATTTATCTGCGATAGGGATGTTTAAAAAGTTGTTTTTGGGAATTGGGTAAAAACGCGAATGTTCCATAATCATTTAGAACTGTCTTAGAATATTCCAGAGCCATTTAGAGTGCTTCAGAATCATTTAGAATGATCCAGAACCATTTAGATCGCTTCGGAACCATTTAGATCATTTCAGAACCATTTAGAACGGTCCTGAATTGTTTAGAACTGGCTATAATCATTTAGAACTGTCTAGAGAATCATTTAATATATTCCAGAACCATTTAGAATGCTTCAGAAACATTTAGAACTGTCTTAGAATTTAGGACATTTCAGAACCATTTAGGAATCATTTAGAACGCTTCAGAACCATTTACAACGCTCCTGAACTGTTTAGAACTGGCTATAATCATTTAGAACTGTCTAGAGAATCATTTAATATATTCCAGAACCATTTAGAATGCTTTAGAGCCATTTAGGACGCTCCAGAATCATTAAGAACTGTCTGAAATCATTTAGAATATTCTATAACCATTTAGAATGTTCCAGAAACATTTAGAACGCTCCAGAAATATTTACTACTGTATATAATCATTAAGAGCTGCCTTAGAATGTAGGACATTTCAGAACCATTTAGAACGCTTCGGAACCATTTAGAAGACTCCTGCATTATTTAGAAATGTCTAGAATCATTTAGAACATTCCAGAACCATTTAGGACGTTTCAGAACCATTTAGAAAGCCTCGGAACCACTTAGAACACTTCAGAACCACTTACAACAGTCCTAAACTGTTTACAACTGGCTATAATCATTTAGAACTGTCTAGAGAATCATTTAATATATTCCAGAACCATTTAGAATGCTTTAGAGCCATTTAGGACGCTCCAGAATCATTAAGAACTGTCTGAAATCATTTAGAATATTCTATAACCATTTAGAATGTTCCAGAAACATTTAGAACGCTCCAGAAATATTTACTACTGTATATAATCATTAAGAGCTGCCTTAGAATTTAGGACATTTTAGAACCATTTAGAACGCTTCGGAACCATTTAGAAGACTCCTGCATTATTTAGAAATGTCTAGAATCATTAAGAACATTCCAGAACCATTTAGGACGTTTCAGAACCATTTAGAAAGCCTCGGAACCACTTAGAACACTTCAGAACCATTTACAACAGTCCTAAACTGTTTACAACTGACTATAATCATTTAGAACTGTCTAGAATCATTTAAAATATTCCAGAACCATTTAGAATGCTTCAGAGCCATTTAGGACGCTCCAGAATCATTTAGAACTGTCTGAAATCATTTAGAATATTCCAGAACCATTTAGAGTGCTCCAGAAACATTTAGAACGCTCCAGAAACATTTAGTACTGTCTATAATCATTTAGTACTGTCTATAATCATTTAGAACTGTCTTAGAATGTAGGACATTTCAGAATCAATTTCATTTTTCCCTTACTTTTCCTTTTAACAATACAGTTTTTTCTTTTGACCTTTCAAATACAGACGAAACAGACCGAACAACATTGCCACAAACACGTCCAGACTTGTCTATAACCAATAAAATTAACTTTATACAATTTAATTAGAGCCCAATTCTCAGAACGTTGGAAACATCCTTATACATTATATACAGGGTGTCAATTAATTGAGTGCCGATACTTCAGGATGTGAATATTTGGATGATTTTAAGAAGAAAAGTTTATATCAATATATGTCCTAAACTTGTTAGTTTTCGATCTACAGGGTGTTTCAATTTTAGAAAAAAAATTACTTTTCTTATCATAGTTTTCTTATTATTCCAGATATTTTTATGAAATTTCGGACGTGAACGTCACTGGTTATAGTAGAAAATTAATTTTTATTCCAAAAAAAATGTGTCCATGCATGGACCAATTTTCAAAAAAAATATCAAAAGCAGTCTCGGTGAACTTGGGAAAATTTTCTTTTGGTTTTTATTTTTTTACTCGAAAATGGTGCGTCGTACGAAAGCAAGTCTTCGAACTGAATTTGCTCCAAAATAAATGAGGATTTTAAAAATAATTTTGGTTTTTACAAAAAAACAGTGGCGTGCCATTTTTTCTACAAATATATTCAGTTGAAACCCCGTACGCACGTCACTGGTAAAATTTCAAAAAAATCTTATGCTTCTAAAAATGCTCCTTAATAATTAAAAAATGTATACAAAATTTCATAAAAATATCCGGAGTAATAACAAAATTATGATAGAATTTTTTTTTTCTAAAACTGTAACGACCCTGTAGTTCGAAAACTAAGAGGTTTAGGCAGTGATGTTAAAATTACTTTATAATATGTAATTAATTACAATTACAATTACTTTTGGCAAATTGTAATTAATTGCAATTACAATTACAAAAATTGCGAATGTAATTACAATTACAATTACAATCACAATTACTTTGCTTTGGTGTCATTTTAAATAATTATTTAGGTACATATTCCTAAAAACCTCATTAACCTTTTCATGCAAACAAGATATTAATAGAAGATATAATTCTTATAGAATATGCTTTAAACTTTAATCCATGGCAAGCAGGTTAATACCCCGACTGCCTGGCTAGGGATTTGCAATCGGAATTAAACTTTCCACGTATTGAAAATATTAAATAAGCACTTTTTTGTCCAATGTAATTGAAATGTAATTGTAAAATGTAATTGTAATTGTAACGAACGGAGTAATTGAATTACAAATGAATTACAATTGAGGAGCTTGTAATTAATTACCGCCTCAATTACACTAAAAGTAATTCAATTACTATTTCAATTACTTGTAATTAATTACTAAACAACACTGGGTTTAGGACACATATCGATATAAACTTTTCTTTTTAAAATCGCCCAATTATTCACATCCTAAAGTATCGGCTCTCAATTAATTAACACCCTGTATGTGTTAATAACACGAATCGTACGACTAAATAACGATGAGTTTTTTTTCTTTTTTCGTATAGTATCTCTTGAAAACATCAACACGGACGTGAACGAATTAGAGAAAGGCATGGAGACCGTTCGAAAGGAAGCGGAAATTCGAGGTAGAGGAAATCACAGTCTGGTCGTTCGCGATTTCCTCGCGAACGCCGAAGATAAATTGAGAAGACTGAAAAGCGACGCCAAAACGGCTTTGGAGGCGTTCAGAGAATGCGTCGAATTCTTCGCCGAATCGCCGAGAACGACCGATGCAAATTCCTTCTTTTCGTTGCTCGTGCGATTCACCAAAGCCTTTAAGGTAACGATAAAGCCCCGTTTAGACGATACATAATACAGATTGCTTCGATTCAGACCGCAACATGGTCGTTCCTATGAATTGAACAACGAAAGATTAATAGGTTTGTTCCTACAAAAAGTCACTGATTTGTTACCAATAAGTTTCTGACTTTTCTATTTCGCATGCGCGGTTTATCATTGAATGGTGTAATCAAATTTCAGATTTCTTGATGGAACAGTCTTTACATTTATTACATATTCATCAAGTATCAAACAAAAACAACAAGCAACATAACCTAATAATTAACCTATATTCAGAAATACGAATTAAACGCGAATTAAAAATGCGCTTGCGCCGGATTCTAAATCTCTGTACTATCAACAAATTTTTCTGACTATCACAAAACCAGTCCATTGAACTGGAACAATAAATTGTTAACCAAGTCAGAATCAGAGATGTCTGTTGAAACGCCTAAATTATTACTGCGCAGACTCCTGACGACCACCGACTATTTCTGACTGTTGTAGGAACAAACCTAATAAAATAACAGTTGTCAGAATGAAAAGTTGCAATGACACAAATGTCATTCTTTCCTTTTCCTTTATGAGTGTCTAATGGAAGTTGTCTTTATCGCACCCATAGCCTATACCCTATGGTTCATTTCAGATTTGCAATATGGTCATTTCTATGAGTTGAACAAAGAAATATTAATAAAATAACTGTTGTCAGAATGAAAAGTTGCAATGACACAAATGTCACCCTTTCCTTTTCCATTATAAGTGTCTAATAGAAGTTGTCTTTATCGCACACATGGCCTATATAACCTATGTTGCGATCTGGAATGAAGCACAGTGTATAAAACGTAGCAATTTGTCTGCATCGACCAAAGACATTACAACTAAGAGACAAATGTTTCTACGATAAATCCCATATATTTGTAGACTGTTATTGTTTTAAAATTTCTAATGAGAGGGAGAGAGAAAGACATATCTGTTATGACCCACTGGCAACGTTGTAAACAAATTGTCTTTATGATCGCCAGTGGCGTAAAGTTTTGTACCTAAACAGCATTGGAGCGAAATAAATCGTTTTTACATTTTTAAGGCTCATTTAACGTTAATGTTTCTTCAAATTTTTACTTTTAAGTAGCTACTAGTAAGTAGCTACAGTTATTTAATTATTATTTATCGGTATAAGAATATTTTAACGGTTTTTAAAGGAATATCGGGTGTCCACGTCACTGGTTCAAATGACATTAAACGAAATAATGACCAATGATATTTAAATTATTTTCATTTTTGACAAATTGTACAATATATAAACTCCATCTATATTTATATAATAATTTATATAAAGTTTAAAGTTTTAAAGTATATAGTTTAAAGTATATACAGTGTGTCTACTTAAGTTCGCACCATATGAAAAACTTTTTTATTATTAATTTTACGAAAAAAGTTATTCTTCATAAAAAGTTCTGCATGTTTTAAAACCTAAAATACAACCATCAGATAACAATTTTTTTAATCCGAATACGAGGTTTGTCAAAAGAATGTGTTTTTTGCTCAAGAGTAAAGTACCTTTATTTTTGAAAATATCGAAAATTGTTATTAAGAAAAGTTGATCAGGACTAAAAATTACATTTTTTAATGTTTTTATGTAGTCGATAATTATTGTAAAATAAATTATTTTGTTATCATTTATTTCAATGCATAATCAAACTAATGCAACATAGAGGTTAAGGCCGGTCGTCCTTTGGATGCGTTTTCATCCGAATTGCCTTCGTCAGAAATCGGACGAAGAAGTGCGAATCATCCCGTTTCATTGAAACCTATTGAAGCTCGTACACTGCGTCCGAACTGCTTCGTACGAATTCGGACGAAAACATGCGATGTGCGATCTATCCGAAACAAATGGGATTGTTCGCAGTTGTTATGACGAATTGATAGTCGATTTGTTGTAACAGACCGAGATGGATGTTGAAAAATTAATTACTTTCATTTATGAAAAAAAGCCTCTGTGGGATATGACCGACAAATCATATCACATGAGAGACATACAGAGAAAATTGTGGCAAGAAGTGGCAGTTGAAATGAATACTAAGGGTAAGTTAAATCAAATTTGGGTCTCAGGTATGATATATTTGCAAACAAACAAAATATTTGTCTTTGTTGTTTATAATGTAGCAAAGGCATATAAGGCTCAGTGAAATCCGAAATGTATTTGAATATTTTATTGATTTTAAATCATGCATTATACAATTCTTGAGATGAAAAATAAGTTTTAAATTTATCTCTGATATCATAAGCTGAACTGGTGCCTCTGTTTTCACCCAAGGTTCCAAATCTTCCCGTTCTTGAATGTGTTTGATCATGGATTTGCTCGAATGTACATGCTACTTGCTGCTCTCCTTCTCTATCAATTATAATGTTATGCAACAGGCATATGCATTTAATAAGTTTATCGGCAGATTCGGGATTTACTTCAATTGATTTTTGTAATAATCTCCATTTGCTACTCATAATTCCGAATGCACATTCAACAACTTGTCTTGCTCGAGACAAACGCTCATTAAAAATTATTTCTGAAGGTCCTAATTTTGATACTGGAAAAGGTCTCATTAAATAAGTTTTGAGTGGATAAGCTTCATCTCCCAAAAGAACATGAGGTACTTTAATATTTGTGCCCGGCAGTGGACAATGTCTTGTAACACCCAACCCTCCGTTTTCAAGCATTTGGCAAAGATTAGAATGCGAAAAAATACCACCGTCACTTTCTTTACCGTACGCTCCCACATCAATTGTTATAAATTTGTAGTTTGGTCCAGCAAGAGCTTGTAAAACAATTGAGAAGTATTGTTTGTAGTTCCGATACATGCTTCCGGAGTGCTTCGGATTCTGTATGCGTATGTGTTTCCCATCTATGCATCCAACACAGTTTGGAAATTTCCACTTATTCCAAAATTCTTCAGATATAGACTCCATGTCTTCATTTTTCGGAAATGGCATATGTACAGTACCCAACTTGTCCCAAATAGCATCACACGTTTCATAAACAATTCTACCCACCGTGACGTCTGATATTCGAAACGAATACCCCAATGTCTTGAACGAGGAGCCCGTTGCCAAATACCTAAAAAAAAACGTGATTAATTGTCACGATTTTTTTTTGTTTCAGTTGATGAAGTAAAAAATAAATGGAGGGGGCTGCGAGACACTTTCCGAAAGGAATTCAACAAGTCGAAAAAACAGAAATCTGGAGATGGTGCAGAATCGGTAGTTACCTCCAAATGGCCATATTATAAAACACTGTTGTTTTTATCTAAAACTGTTGAACGACGTAAACTGCATGGAAATATATCTCCGCAAAAGGAAAACAATAACAACTCTGATTCCGAGACAGAATCGACATTGAAAGCTGCAGACAATGCATACTCTCAATCAACCATTCAGGAGTCATCACAGCAAATTGTAAATACAGATATACACGAGCTATCCACATCTGGTAATAAGGTTACAAGTACATTGAGTACACGTAATAGTACAACTTTGCAATGTAAGAAAAACACAAACAATCGTCTAAAATATGCTAAGAATTCCGAGACAAATTCAATGGACGACAAGTTCCTCGAAATAGAAAAAGCCAAATTGGAAATATTGTCCCAACATAAAAATAGAGAGGACGGTGACAGTGAACGCCAATTCCTACTGAGTCTCCTGCCCTTTTTAAAGGCTGTACCTCAAAATCGACAAATGTTGGTGAGAAGTAAGTTGCAGCAAGTATTTCTTGAAGAAGAACAATTATCTACAAGACACGCGCCCGGAGCAGCATATCGTTCCAATGAAACAATTACATCAACACCGTTGCCTTCTCCAATGTCTTACACGGACACCGATTCCTCCAGAGCGTCGTTCTATTGTAATGACTTAATATCAACACCACATCATTCTTCATCTTTGAAAAATACAGAATCTTCCGGGGTCTCACAATATTCAAGTGAAAGAAGAGAAGATGTTTCCTATCAACAACCGTTGTCCGTTCAGAACTATATTTCTCACTTCAGCGCATAAAACAATGTATTTCTTTTCTTTGTATTTTTAAATAATAAAATTGAAAATGTTGCAACTACTGTATTTATTTTATAACTTACCTTAGAGTTACACTCAATCGTTCTTCTGGTGAAATGGTATCACGGAAATTCGACATTTTTTTTATTGGTTCTCTTATGGCATCTAAAATATAGTTAAATGTATCCTGATTCATGCGATAGTAATCAAAAAACTTTTTCTCGTCCTTCTTCAAATCATCATATAAATGATGAAATTCTCCGAATTCTTTTCGTTTTGCTAATATGTCATTAACCCAACACTTTTTTCTTTTTAATTTTAATCGCCGTCTAACAAGATAACTATTTTCCAAAAGAAAATGATCCATATTATTAATAATTATTATAGTATGCTTATTTGATAAATCACTACATACGACTGACTTCGTACAATGCGAAAACTTGTCTAGTGGACGATACCACATATGCGAAATCTGACGAAATTATTCCTCCGATTTCTGACGAAAATAATTCGGACGAAAACGCATCCAAAGGACGACCGGCCTAAGAGATGTAAATGTAATCAAATTTTTAACGAATAAAGAGATAACAGATAACAATTTCCAATATTTTCAAAAATAGATTTACTTTACTTTTGAGCAAAATTCATATTTTCTGACAAACCTCGTATACGACTGAAAAAATTAGATATCTGATGATTGTATTTTAGGTTTTAAAACATGCAGAACTTGTTATGAAGAATAACTTTTTTTCGTAAAATTAATAATAAAAGTTTTCCATATGGTGCGAACTTAAGTAGACACACTGTATAAACTCCAATAATCCCAGCCGGATTACACAAATAAGATGACGTTAATATCTCTTTCTATTACTTACTTTCTATTATTTTGGTACTCTTTCTAGTACCCTTTTTTTTTAATACAACTGTACCTACTACGTTTTATGCATTCCATCCAAAGTTTGGGTTGGAGTAAAAATACGGAAGATGTGAATGGTATTCCCTAATTTCGACAAATTGGTTTCGTCTTGTCGTTGCAGACGAATCATTACGTTTTATTGTATCGTCTAAATGCAGCTTTATTAACGCAATTGTAATATTATTAGGTTTCTTCCTACAAAAAGTCACTGATTTTTTACCAATAAGTGTCTGACTCATCTATTTCGCATGCGCGGTTTATCATTGAATGGTGTAATCAATTATCCGTTTTTTTGATGGAACAGTCTTTACATTTATTACATATTAACCAAATATCAAATAAAAACAACAAACAACAAAACCTAATAATTAACCTATATTCAGAAATACAAATTAAACCCGAATTGAAAATGCGCTTGCGCCGGATTCTAAATCTCTGTACTATCAGCAAAATTTTCTGACTATTACAAAACCAGTCCCTTGAACTGTTGGAACAATAAATTGTTAACCAAGTCAGAATCAGAGATGTCTGTGAAGTTTGTTCGAAAGCCTAAATTATGACTGCGCAGACTCCTGACGACCACCGGCTATTTCTGACTGTTGTAGGAATAAACCTATTGTGTTCGATTGATTTCTGAGTTAATTTATTATGTTGTTATTTGACAGACGGCGGATCAGGAGAATGAGCAAAGAAGGCGATTGGAAATCGCAGCGCAGAATGCGAATAACAAAACCAACGAAGATGTACAAAAGAGGAATAAAATCAACCAGAAAAAACAGCAGGTACGTTTTGTTATTATTTTTATTTTGTTTTAGTTATTTTAAATTCACCGTGTTTCGGATTTATAGAGGTTTTTTTTATATCTTTTGTATCGCTTTACTGCTTGCTTCTATTTATTTTTTTTCTATTATCTTTTCTTCCTATATTTTTGTATTTATTGCTTTAAGCTTGTCGAATTTGATTTTTGTAGTTTTTCTTGATTGAAACCAGTACGTTATTTTCCCTTTGGTTATAAACTGTAGGTTTCGTTTATTATTTTAATCAGGCCGCTTAATTTATCGTGTTTTCAGTTAAATGTAGTTACATAATAAACGAATACGGCGTTCCTATAATTGAAATTCGGAAAATTGGAAGAATATAAAAAAAATTTATAATGACATTTGCCGTATGTCAAACGCCATTTTGTGGTAGTGGGGGTGTTGCACTTATTAATCCATTAACGGGGTCTTGCACCAAACTCGAATTAAACGAATGTTAATTAAATTGGCGTTTAATTTAAAGCTTCGCTTAAGTTCATTAACATTGCACCATTTAAAAAAGTGAAGACATTAATTTTTTGAGGTTTTTATTTGGAACATTTAATGTTGGTTACACTTGTCGTTTGAGGGAAAAATACCACAGAACACAGAATTTTGGTTCTAAGTTTTGTATTCTAAGTATTCTGTGAAATAGACATTTTTAAGGTTATCGAGGTTTATTGTTTATTTTCTGTTTATTGTATATTATCAATCATCAGATATTATTTACTTGTGATGGAAATTGAACAAATAAACATAGATTATCAAGATATTTTTGATGATGATTTGGAAATGTTAGAGATCCTGAATAAAACCCCTTAAGGGAGGAGTGGCGGGTAGCTTTAAAAATTTAAATAGAAATTCCTATTTATTATTAAAAATTCGGAATTCTGGCATTAAAATTAGCAAGTTTTGTTCCAAACATTTTTCAAATTTATCAAGAAAAAAAAAGCTAAAATTTCGAAAATTATTTCAAACAGCCCTATAGGGACACAAAAGTAGTTTTATGATGGTCAAATTCCATAAAGAAACAACCTTATGAAAAAATCTAACCCCAACCATATTACAAAAAGATATTTTATTGCTAATTTTCTTTCTAATTAACTAGTTGCATACTATAGTAAGTTCTATTTTCGTTTAAACTGTTCATAAACCATCAAAATTTACTGTTTAATCTTAAGCAATTATTAAAAAGTTAACTTTAGTTTATATAAGTGGTGCAACATAAAAATTGAATATAACTTGAGTTTAGCATTAAACTACGTTTAAATGCCATTGGTGCATGAACCCGTAAATAATTAAATAAAAAAGGCAATACTATCTGATACAAGCGCCCTCTGTCGAGAGGGCTCTTCCACCAGGAGTTTCTTGACCTCTTATAAACGACCGTGAGTACGGCAAACTCCGATGTGTCAAAAAAATGATTCAATGGCGTTTGACATATGTCAAACATATTGTAACAAGTCGAAAGTATGTAAAATATTTTACAAAAAATTTATCGTTCGAATTAGTTTTTCACGAGTAGTTTTAGCACTAACAGCATTCCATTAACACCGATCGCAGACTCGCCTAACCTAAAAAAAAAAGTACGTACTGTGACTAAATTTTTTTTATTCGTACTATTTTGGCATGAGAATTAGCGCCATCGTTGATCGAACAAACTATTTTTTTTTGTTATTTTCATATTTTTTCAGCCGCCAAAGTTGCCAAACTTTTTGGCTAAGATACTCGAAGATTAGTTTATCGCTCGACGTCGAGTATATATTTAGAGACAAAAAAAATAAATACTATATCTATGTTGCCATTTCTTATCACAGTATAACTCGAAACTCTTTCTGAAATTAACACATTATTTATCATGCTTGGGTTAACGACTTTATCTTTTCGGTTATTCAATACAATTCGTTTGATTGTTGAAACTTGTTGTTGCGTTCTAGCCCGGGACGCCGAATACGAGTTATCTCGTATTAATACAGGGTGTTAATAAATTGAGTGCCGATACCTTTGGATGTGAATATTTGGGTGATTTTAGGAAGAAAAGTTTATGTCAATATATGTTCTAAACCTATTAGTTTTAGAGCTACAGGGTCGTTATAGTTTTAGAAAAAAAAAATTCTATCATAATTTTCTTATTACTCCCGATATTTTTATGAAATTTTGAATACACTTTTTAATTATTAAAGAGCATTTTTAGAAGAAGATTTTTTTGAATTTTTACCAGTGACGTGCGTACGGGACTTCAACTGAATATATTTGTAGAAAAAATGGCACACCACTGTTTTTTTGTAAAAAACAAAATTATTTTTAAAATCCTCATTTATTTTGGAGCAAATTCGGTTCGAAGACTACTTTTGTACGACGCACCATTTTCGAGTAAAAAAATAAAAACCAAAAGAAAATTTTCCCAAGTTCACGGAGACTGCTTTTGATATTTTTTTTGAAATTTGGTCCATGCATGGACACATTTTTTTTGGAATAAAAATTAATTTTCTACTATAACCAGTGACGTTCACGTCCGAAATTTCGTAAAAAATATCTGGAGTAATAAGAAAACTAATTTTAGATAAAAAAAGTAATTTTTTTCTAAAATTGAAACACCCTGTAGCTCAAAAACTAGAGGTTTAGGACATATATTGATATAAACTTTTCTCCTTAAAATCATCCAAATATTCACATCCTAAAGTATCGGCACTCAATTAATTAACACCCTGTATAATATGATTCAAATAAACTTGGAATCTCAAAAATTACCGTGGCAGTCAACGGGTCAAATTCACCAATCAAGGTTTACTTGATAAATCAACCGTTTTATACAATCCATTCGAGATATTGAAGAAAAAGATAAAGCATTAACCTTGCGCTTTTCTAGCAAATTCACAACACGAAACTAATTCCTATTTAGTCGCCACCTGTAAATTGCACATCCGAAAAATATTCACTTAATCGAATTCTTCCACGCATATACGAATAAAAAAAAAAAAAAAAAACCAAACAACCCAGAACGAAAATATCTCTTTACAAAAAGGTAAAAATTGTACAGGACGCTGTGATAAACGAATTAAAGACAAAAACAAGGCTGGTGCACGAGAAGAAGCTGCTCCAGCAGGACGAAGTGTACAATGGGGCGTTGGAGGACATCTTGCTCGGTTTGAAGAGCGAACCTTACAGAAGGGCTGACGCCGTCAGGCGTAGCCAAAGAAGAAAGATAGACAATAATAGATTATCGAAAACGTTGGAGGAGTTCGAAGTGTAACAGCTTCATTCTCTCTCTGTTCTTTTTTTTTGTACATTTTTTTCTTAAGATTTAAATCGTGACGGTTCACCGCTAGCGTGTGTTACCCGCGTGAATCTAGCACCCCCACCATAAAAAAAATAAAAAATCATACATCATAATTTAGTGCTATTTTAGTGCTAATTTAGTGCCCACTTCCTAATTTTAGTGATCGTCTGGTTGAGCAGAAAATTGCGATTGAAAATGGCGGTGCTAAGTTTATAAAGCTAGCACCGCCACATTTAAATATTTAAACAAAATTAAAAAATAGTATATCGGAATTTAGTACTATTTTAGTGCTTTCGAATGCACTACTCAGAATTTCATTTAAGTTAATTAATCTTAAAGATATTTGATAAAAACGTATTGAAGTCGATAGAAAAACAGATAAACATAGAAAAAATACATTAAAACATAGTAATTGGGAAACGATTTTGATCTCTAATTTTTCAATGATTTTAGTGCTTTTAAAGTAGTTAATGTCAGATTTTAGTGTTCAGCCTTAAACCCAAAAAATCTCATTTTACTATTTTGTAGTCTGACCTCCAAGAGTAAAAATGTGATTTTTTTGGTTTAAGAGTTGAGCACTAAAATCTGACTTTAGCTATCCTCAAAGCACTAAAATGAACAAAGAACATGAAACAAAAATCATTTTTCTATCTACATTTTTAATGATACTTTACTCTTGGATGTCAGACTACAAAATAGTAAAAATGTGATTTTTTGGGTTTAAGGGTTGAGCACTAAAATCTGACTTTAGCTATCTTAAAAGCACTAAAAAGAACAAAGAATATTAACAAAAATCATTTTTATGTCTATATTTTTAATGACACTTTACTCTTGGAGGTCAGACTATACAAAATAGTAAAAATTAGATTTTTTGGGTTTAAGGGTGAGCACTAAAATCTGACATTAACTACTTTAAAAGCACTAAAATCATTGAAAAAATAGAGATCAAAATCGTTTCCCAATTACAATGTTTTAATGTATTTTTTCTATGCTTATCTGTTTTTCTATTGACTTCAATACGTTTTTATCAAATATCTTTAAGATTAACTAACTTAAATGAAATTCTGAGTAGTGCATTCGAAAGCACTAAAATAGCACTAAATTCCGATATATTATTTTTTAATTTTGTTTAAATATTTAAATGTGGGGGTGCTAGCTTTATAAACTTAACACCGCCATTTACAATGGCAATTTTCTGCTCAACCAGACGAGCACTAAAATTAGGAAGTGGGCACTAAATTAGCACTAAAATAGCACTAAATTATGATGTATGATTTTTTATTTTTTTTGATGGTGGGGTTGCTAGGTTCACGCGGGTGCGTGTGCTTGTGTTTTTTTTTTGTTCTTTAAAATCTCGTTCGTTACGTTTGTTTTGTAGTATTTTAATGTTGAGCAGTTTCGTATGCTGTGTAAATTTTTTAAACAGATTTTTATGAAGAAATGTTTTAAGCGGTGAACTGCTCTTTTGTTGCCTATTTCTAGACCAAGAGTATTTTTATTAGACTCATTATTATATTATTAAAGTAAAAAAAGAGGTTATCTTGCAGTTTTGGTGACGGACTGGTACGCATGCGCTAACTACCGCCAAATTTTCCCCATTGACAGCGTTAACAATTGTGCAACGTTGCCAAATTCTGTAAATTGCATTTTGGGCAATGTTGTAGTTTACACCCGTAAGAGTGCGCAACTCCTTCTGCGCATCTACGTAATACAGTGAGTTCTAATGATTTCGAACGCGGCGTTGCCGAGTATTTGTAGTTTTTATTTAATTTAAGGGAAAGTTAGTTGTTAATTGTAAAAAAAGTAATTGAAAATTGAATTGAGTACTTCTGATTACAATTAACAACAAATAAATTAAATAATATATTTCAACAAATTGTAGTTTATTTATGTTAAATGTGGCAACTATGCATTAAATTAAAAATGCATTTTAATCAACTATAATTATCTGATTTGACACAAACGGCATAAACCAAATCCCACAATAGCATAACTTAAAACTTAACAATTAAGAATTTAAACATTTGGCAATAACGCGTGTAAACAACAACATAACCCTATTTTGTTAAAAATGACTTATCCCCTTTTACGCTCCGCTACCCCTACCTAGCTACCCCTTTCCTACCCCCCCTATTATTTTTTTTTCCTATTCCAATTTTTTGGTTATATTCACTGATATTAAATACACATTGGCAACCCTGCATTGTGTTTGACGCTGTCAGTTGAGAAATTTAATCGTAGTTGGCGCCTGTCATCGAAACTGCGAGGTAACCTAAAAAAAATATTCTTCGTCTACTCCACTTGCCTGTAATGTACTATAAATTTTATTTTTCTATAAATAACGCGCACATTTATATTTTTTTTGTAAATTCTCTGAATACTCTCTCATATTTTTGTACGATATAGAATTAAATTGTGATATAAAAATTTTTATTTAAAAATGATGTATATAAAAAGTATATCGAGTTATGATTGGAATATGATCTTTGGAGTTATTTCTCGATGAAGGTTTTTGAAACGATTGTAAAGGTTATGAAATGTTTAATCCTTTGGAAATATTACAAACGAGAACAAATATTTTTAAGAGATTACTGTTTTTTTTTAAGTTTTTCGTCAGTTCGATTTTGTAGGCTATTATATTGTTATACAGAGTCTTCATAAAGGATTGATTCCCACTTGAGCTAAAAATTAATGCAACCCAAAGTGCAGTGTTGTTATTATTTTCAAGAAATGCCTCTCATTATTTTTACCTATCATTAATTTAAGGTTATGTTGATACACAGTTTTCTTCGGGAAAAACTAAAAAAAATAAACAAAACAAGTTATTTCCATCGAGGTTTCATCAACGTCAAGACTTGACATTAATGACAGTATTCTAGTAACTTTTTTTTTAGTAATTTTTTGGGTACCAACATAAACATTATAAATTTACTACGTTAATTTCGAATTTGGTCATGTGGGAATCAATCATTTATGAAGACTCTGTATTTGCGTTGGATTACTAAATAATAATTATTAAAACATTCCTCTGAATTTAAAATGGCGTACGGCACGAATATTTGATATTAGTGTTACTTATTTAAAAAAAATCACGAAATTTGGCCTATTTATAATATTTTTGATATAAAATATACTACGATTTTTATACGCAAACATTTCCTGTAAATTTCAATAGAAAGGTATTAATTCAACGGGGGAGTTGTTTTTATTTTCTTTAATTATATTTTATGTATGTTGGAAATTATGAATTTTAGAACTCGTAACGTCTAAACGAATATGTTTAGAATTTCTTTTAATCCAGATTTTACCTCTCCCATTTACTATTTTTATTAATAAAAGGTAAATAATTTTCGATGAATCGGAAATTAGTTCTACTACAAAAAATACTAGTTGATGTGTATTCTAAATGAAGTAGCACTCAAAATAGTAGAAGTAGCAATAGATTCTTTACTAACTACGAGATTACTCGTAGATTGTCTTCTTGCCCAGGACGCCGTACTACGAGTTATCTCGTATTAATATTAATACGGACAGTCGACGTGTTAACATCGTCTACCTACGGTTTATAAGAACTCGAATCAATTAATACCATCACTAATTTATATTGCGTGAGCATTTAGGCTCAGCTGAAAAATGCATTTTGTTCGGCAAAAAAATAATAAATGCCTAATGGTTATAAAAAAATCGCAACACAAATTATTCAATTTGCATAGTAAATTACTTTCAATATTTTAATAAAAGTTGCAATAAAAAATATCTACAGTGCGTGTGTAAAGTAACCCCCTCCCCCCTCAATTATTTTTTGTACCATTGGAGATGTCAGACTAAATTTTTTGTATAAAATTATAAAAAAAGTTTTTTGATATGGAAATAAAATGTATATTGTATAGTATGTTTACAAGTTTTTTTACGCAATTTTTACGAAAAAATTTAGTAAAATGTCTCCAACGATTCAAAAAATAATTGAGGGTGCGTTACTTTAGACAGGCACTGTATATAAACGCTCAGTTAACTAGATTTAGTATTAAACGAAATTTTGCATTATAAAACAATATAAATGCTCAGTAACTATTTTAAATTAAACCCTTCTACCCTACGATATACTCTTCGAACCTCTTTTACCCTCCGCTACCCCCACCTGCCCCTCGCTACCACCTACCTAATACCTGCTACCTCCTTCACTCTTGTACCATCCGCTACCCCCTTCTACCCTCCGCTACCCACCCCCTTCTACCCTCTATCAACAATCACTGCTCCTTTTACCATCCACTGCCCCCACCTACCCCCGTCTACCCTCTCTCTTGTACCATCCGCTACTCCCTTCCACCCTCGCTCAACACTCCGCTGTCCCTTCTACCCTCAATCAACCCTTCGCTGTCCCTTCTACCCTCCGCTGCTCCCACCTACCCCCGTCTATCTTATTCTACCATGCGCTACCTTTTTCTACGCTTAGTTAAGCTTTTCTAACCTTCGCTAACCTCAACTACCTTCCTCTACCCTCCGCTAAGCCTTTCTTCCCTCGCTACTCCCTACCTAATACCCGTTACCTCCTATTTCACTACTCTACCCTCCGCTACCCACCCCCTTCTACCCTCTATAAACAATCACTGCTCCTTTTACCATCCGCTGCCCCCACCTACCCTCGTTTATCCTATTCTACCATCCGCTACCTTCTTCTACCCTTAGCTAAGCCTTTCTAACCTTCGCTACCCTCATCTACCTTTCTCTACCCTAAGCTAAGCCTTTCTGCCCCCCGCTATCCTCTACCTAATACCCGCCACCTCCTTCTACACTCCTCTACCCACCTCCATCAACACTCCGCTGTCCCTTCTACCATCCTCTGCCCCCCTAACCTCCGCTACCTTCTTCTACACTCCGCTAAGCCTTTCTGCCTCCCGTTTCTCCCACCTATCCCTCGCTACCCCCTACCTAATACCCGCCACCTCCTTCTACACTCCTCTATCCTACGCTACCCCCCACCTTCTACTCCTCCTACCCTCTTTTTCTCCCCTCTACCCACTTTTACCTACCTATATCAAGCATGATTAAATTACTGAACGTCTTTTATTTTACCCGAACATTTATTCTCTAATTACGCATTTGGATAAATTACATGGTAAATGAACTTTGCAATTCGAATAATCTGCCAGTCCTTTAGAACGATCCATTTACACCTAATTGCTCGACTCTTCAGTACCTCGGGCAAACCTCCAAGTGCTCGTTTTTTATCTCATCGGCCACTTTCTCGCCCACCATCAAACAAGCTACGCTCGGATGACCGGCCACCGGCGTGGGAAACACGCTGGCGTCGGCTATTCGCAATTTCTCGATCCCAATCACCTTCAAATCGGATCCCACGACTGCCCCTTTCTCGGCATCGACGCCCATCGGGCACGTCCCCACCGGATGGTACCCAGTAAGCGTGGTCTGCCTCAAGAAGCATCGCCAGTACTCTTTCGTCTTGAATTTCAAGTGCCTACAACGCGTCAACGGTTCGCCCAAATACCGCAAATTCAGCCGTTTGTACGCCTGGGTTTGGGTTAGTTTGAAAACCAGCTTGATTGCTTCGTACATAACGTCGATATCTTCGTTGTTCTCGTCGGATAGCAATTTGGAGTCTATTAGAGGATGTTCGTAGGGATCGCGGGATTTTAGTTTGATGGTACCGAAGGATTTCGGCGCTACGTTGATGATGGCGAAGCCTATGGAGTTTTCGTTCTTTCCCCAGTAGGCTTTGTACGTGTCATCGCTCCAACCGCTGAATTTTTTATCGATTTCCGTGGGTTGGGTCAGATCCGAAATGATTTCTACGTTCGGCGCTACGTTGTTGGTGTTATTTAAGCTGTAAAATCCCAATGCTTGCGATAGAGTGGGCGCTGTTAGAGTACCTATTCCCTGTAAATAATCTCGGATTTGTTCCTGAAGAGTTTCGGAAGGTAGCGAAACGTTTGTTGAAAATATTAATGCTTTGCTGGTCGGATGATCCATTAGTTTACCTCCTACTTTTAGGTCTTGTATTGGAGGTATTCCCAGGTTTTCCAAGCTATTTTTGGGTCCTATTCCGGATAGCATGAGTATTTGTGGTGTTGATACAGCGCCTGCTGCGAGTATGATTTCTTTCTTAGCTGTTGCTTTGAAAGTGTTGCCTTTTTTCGAAAATATCACCGTGTTTGCCGTTTTGGTTAACCGGTTAATTCCAATTTTGGTGACGTAGCTTTCTGTTGATACTTTTAAGTTCTTCCTGTTAAGAAATGGTGTTACAAAAACGCTCCCTATATCTTCTCTAGCGCCATTTTTGGTGTAGAGCTGCAATACGGAACTACCGAGCTGTTTGGGACTGTTGTAATCTGTAACGCCGATGCCCAATTCTTTATTAGCGTTGATAAAAACGTCGGTGAGAAAAAAATTAGGTACTTTATGCTGAACGTGCAATAAACCTTCGTTACCGTGATATTGTAAATCGACTGGTACTTTCTTGTTCGTCCAGAGGAATTTTTCGGTTTTTTTAAAGTATTTTAATATATTGCGGTACGACCACGACGGGTCTTCAGCAATCTTAGCCCAATTGTCGTAGTTATCGGGATGTCCTCGTACGTAAAGCACCCCGTTTATTAAACTGGTACCGCCCACGCCTTTCCCTTGATGGATCTTGCATACCTTATTAACAGTACCTGGAAGTTATAAAGCGATAAATTTGTGGAATGATTGTTCGAACCAGTCTACCTAAGCAAGCGGTACTCTGAGGTACCGATTCGTAACCCCAACTGTACTGCGAGGAGCTGTGCATGGGAAAGTACCTCGGAAACTGAACGAAGCCGTTGTCGGAAAAGTTTCCCGCTTCTAGTACCAATACACTCCAATTTTCGATCTCTGATAGTCTGCTGGCGATGATGCTTCCGCTGGTACCGCTTCCGATGATCACGTAGTCATAAGATCCATATTCTGGAATAGTAGTAAATGAATGTAAATTTTATCGTATAAAATGGCTATGTGCTTGATTTTTTAAAACGCTTTCCAGCTGTACTAGGGTAGAATGAGATGACACCGAGGATACAAAAATATAAGTTTTATTCTCTAATTATGTCATTCTTGTTTTAATGATGAAGGCTCTCATTCGGTACTCTTACCGTTTATTTTTTGGTTTTCTCGTGGCTCGTACATTTTCGCATCGCTTGGTAATTGGTAATTCTTGGCCTTTTCTATGCCTTCTTGAATGAGGCTTTCGTACCATCGTACTTTCGAGGTCTCACAGAACGCTTGTCTTATTGTAAAAATTAATAAAAAATAAACGCATTTAACCGACATCATTGTGGTATATACGTGTATATTAAAATATAACAGGTTTTATTTATAGACTATAGTAAGTAAAAACAAACATAGATCGATGTTAAGTGGGTACCTAAGTACTTCGAACAAAAGCGATTGTCGGTAATTGGCAATTTTTCGTTCCAAATGCCCTTATCAAAGTTTCAATAGGTTTACCAATTACAAGTTGAACGTAAATTTTTACAAATTTGTTGTTCTATTTACGCTAATTTATTAAAAATCGAGTATTTAGTACAACGGGCGGTCAGATAAGAATGTAAAGTACTGTATCTTCGAAAATCTGGTAAAAAAAATTATAGATAAAGTGGCCAAAAAAATAATGTGGTTATTGCTATCTAAAATTTTGTAAATGATTTTTCTCTGAAATCTACTCAAGTTAATGTACTACCAAAAAAATATACACCGAGTCCCATCGGTAGTATCGGGGGTGATATTTTAAGCAAGTTGGAACGTGTGGAGCGTATTTCTGCAACAGTTACGATTTTTGATTGTTTAGAGAGAATTCATTTAAAGCACTTATTCATTTAGCAACCTCAAATGTGAGTATATTTTTCTATCCATTAACCACTTTTTACACTATTTTCTCTTTTTCACTTGTTCATCCTCATCATCTATTATTAATACCGCAGCTAAAACGACAGCTGCTTTTCTTTTGAAATTGAAGACAAACCTGCACCCCGAGATATTTTCAACGAAAACTAAATTAAAATCTAAACTTCGGCAGTATCATGTGTTGCAAAGTGTAGATAAAAAATGGCTGTACTGCAAGCCGTACGATTATCTTTACAATTTACAGTTCAACATGCAGTACGAAATAGTAGGAGAGAATTGCATACTAGAGTTGACGGTGTTATTCAAACCCCAAACAACATCCGGCAGCTTCTCGTCCCATCTCCACTCGCTCTCCACAGTCGAAGTCAACGCCTCAACTATTGTCCTATTTGGTCTTTCCACCTAACCATTCGCCCTAGGAGTCGCCACAGCATTCACCACATGCTTAACGCCTTTTTCCACCAAAAACGCCCTGAACTCTGAACTGACAAACACCTTGCCCTGGACAGAGATCAATCGCCGAGGATAGCCGAATTCGCTGAACACCTCGCGCATCCGTGGTATAGTTTGAAGTGGACCTAAATGATCGACATGTACCCTATCGAAAGGTATCGCCCGTGGCCTAATAGGATGCAAAAAGCCTTCGCTACGCCCGTATTGACCCTTGCAAACCCACAGTTGAGACATGACGCCACATATTTCTCAACGAATCGCCGCATTCGAGGAAACCAATAGGTTTCTTCGACTAACACCAAACACCGGTTAAACGCCGGATGACCGATGTCATCGTGATGTTTTCGCAACAATCCAAATTTCGCCACCGCCTTTGATTGAATTTATAATGCGCCTTGACGTTTGCCGGAGTGTTATCAGCCGCCAACAACTTAACAATCTCCTGCGTCTTGTGATCCTGTAGTTGTATGTTTACTAAGAAACCAATCGCCTTCATCCATCTCGACAATATTTACGCCTATTGTCTCGGCAGGAGGTTTTCTGCTCAATGCATCGAAATGTTGTATACGAACGCCTGGTCGATATTGTATCTCCATATCGTACTCTTGGATCGCAACCACAACCGAGCTATTCGAGGTACTAAATCCTTTTTTGAGCAACGCCGCTCTGACCGCCACGCAGTCTGTTATCACCTTGAAGTGAATGCCCACTAGGTATACTCGAAATCGCCGGATGGATTCCACCACCGCCAGTGTTTCCAGCTCGTAGCTGTGATAGACTTGCTCCTGCGCCGTAGTCGCCCTACTGAAATATTCTACCACCTTCAGAGATTCGCCATTCGCCGATTGCAACAGGATACCTGATATGCCCAACTTACTAGCATCCGTGTAAAGTTCAATAGCCGCCTTACTGTCGTATATCACCAGAATTGGTCTGTCTGCTAATTTCGCCTTTGACAGATTAAACGCACGTTGTTGTTCGCCCGCCCATCGTGATTCTACATCCTTTTTAGTAAGGTTCGACAATGGTTTCGCCAAAACTGCGAAATTCCGCCATACTCAAAATGACCGTCTGGTGTGATAAACGCCGTTTTATCAAGAGAGTCCGGGTGCACAGGCACCTGGTGAAAACCTTGCGTCAGGTCTAATGTCGTGAAAAAGATTTTATTCGCAAGTTTACTTAGTTGATCTGAGGTAGTTGATCTCAAAGGTAGCGAATAGCTATCTTTCGCCGTAATAGTATTTAATGATAAAACGTCCAGCACCCTGTCCTGCTGGAAGCTCCTTCCGGAAGGACAGTTGGACAAACGAATTGGTCCTGCCAGAAGTACGCTATTTTTTAATTTAAATGTCCTTCCAGAAGGACGCAATGAGCTTCCAGCAGTACGGCGACATTTTCCATAGGCGTCAGGAATATTTTTGCGAACAATTTTTAAAACATTAATCAAAAATCAATGAATAGATTAAAAGTTATTATTTTTTGTAGGACATGAGATTTATTGTACTGTCCATAATGTGCAGTGTACGTAACATACAATATCGAAATAAACAAATTTAGAAGGAGATAAAACTTCATAAAAAAACTCCCATAAAGTAACAAAACCAAAATTCTGTATTAGGTAAATAAAAAAAATTAGAACATTAAAGCAGGAACATTGAACATTGAAAAAAATTAAGAACACAAAAAATTATTTTTGCGGTAATCCATGTATTATATGGTGCGCAAAACAATTTCGTCCAGTAGTAGGAGCACAAAGAATAGCATTTTGGCCACAAGAATCACAAAAGTAACTTGCTTTTTGTTGTTTCTATCGAATTCGAGAACAAATGACACACTTGCGTTGAACACGTCGTCTTTCATCTATGCTGCTTAAAGGAACTAAACTGTGTTGCGTAGGTATGTTACCAGTTTGTTCAATTTGCCGATCCCCTGCTGTTTGTAGCCTACTATTTGGATTTTCATTTTCGACATTTTCTTCCGCTTCCCAATTATGGTTCAAGATCTGATAAGCCAAATTCTTCGTAAAAGTGCTATGAGACATTTTTGCATCATTCTTGAAATATTTCCACGCTAAATATGCGTTAGTTTCTACAATCCCAAGAAAAGAAGCATATAGTCTGTGCTTCCAATTATGTGTAAGCCAACTTTGTTCCAGTGCTAAACCTGCTTGTCGCAAATGATTGTGAATATCAATAGACGGAGAACCTTCATAATATTCCTCCACAAGTTTCAACCTCGGAACCTCAATTGTATATTTTTGACCATTTTGATCTACTCTCCGTTTTACACATGGTGCGCCTTCAAGAGTAGTTCCACATGTTCCAACAAATGTGTGTGTTTTAGCATCACGCCAAACAACGGCAACTACTTCAATGTCATCTATTCTTGTTTTACACGTCACAGTAGCACCACGTTGTTGAGGGCAATTTTCTTTTAAATATTTGATTGGGTAATTTTTAGTAGCAACCTTTACCATTCCTAGAAAGTACAAGCCTCGACGGGATAGTTCCACTGCTGTTTTTACAGAACCAAACCAAGCATCACCAACTACAATACGTCCAGATCCGTGATAATTTTCCGTCAACCGCAATGTCGTTGCTGTTCCAGCACCAAACTCCCTTTGCCACTTTTTTCCAGCCATAGAATTTTTTCCTTCATTTATTTCTAGCCTTATCATTATATTCGTTTGAACGTCGGCTAGTGTTTTGCACTCACATCCAACACCTTTGGGTTTCCGGGCGATTTTGATTACAGCTGGTAAGCCCTGCGGATCGTGATTACCTTTTCCATACCACGAGAACATGGATTCATCAATGCAGACTTTATAACCAGGAGTAAAAACGTCATTCCATTTGGTTTGTAACATATCGACAAAAGGTCTTATGCATTTCCATTTATCAGTATCCGCAGGGTCTTCTGCGACGAAAGAAAAGGCTTGTAGTATACGTTCAAATCTATGGTAACCCATCCCGAATCGGACTCCAAAAGCTGGTGGAGGGAATAAGCTGTTGTTCTCTTTGGTGCACCAGTAATCACGTCTATTTGGTAATACAAATGTGCTCATGGCATAAATAAGTCCGATGACTTTGAAAAATTCTGCTTTGGAGCAGACTCTTGTCTCTTCTCGGATGAGATCAGAATTGGTGGCTTCTAGGAACAAGTCAATATTTTCCACTGGGAACATCGTTAGCCAAAAATCTAATTCCTTCATTGTAGTAGCATCAGCAACATTTAATTTGGGCTTAAATTTTACATCTTTAAAAGGATCAATTCTTACTTTTCCGAGCTCCCATGTGGTTTCATGTGCAATAATACTACGAGCATTTTCATGCATTGTTGGAGCATTACCTTGAGTATTATTAACATCTTCATTGCCATATTCGCTTTCAGAAGAAGTATTTGATGACTCACTTGTAAAGATGTCCTTAGCATTTCTAGAAGTGGAGGGCTGCTGTACATTTAAAGCAATCATAGAATCAAGCCGAATCTTTTTACTAGAAGGAGTACTACATGCTACAAAAAAAGTGTCAATTATAGTCAGAACTGATTTTTAGATTTATCATTAGTATTACCTTCAAGGAATCGTAATTCAATATTCATTTTTCTTTTATCGACTTCCCATAAAACGCAGGCTGTGTTTCCTAATATTTTTTGAACAACTCCATAACAATATGAATTTTTATAATTGCTACCGAAAATGGATTTGCTCCAATTTTTTTCGGCATCGGAATCAAATAATGTGGCTTTTGCAGCCACGCGGTCGCCTATTTTAAAACTCATCGTTACGTACGGCAATGGTCTTCAGGACAAAACAAGTTTTAACCTTCACTCCTGCATAACTTCTTTATTACTAATCCAATTTGGATGAAATTTTCACATTAGATAGTGTCACGAGTTGCTATGAATTTGGGCGCCTCCACCATGTCACGAGTTGCTATGGTTGGGGCTACTTGCCCTTTTATTCGTGTCGTTCAACTCGTGCTTCGCCGATTCCTTTATCGGCGGAACCTCTTTGCTACGGGGCGTAGCGGTAAAGTCTTGGC